ATTTCTTTTGCGAGATTGCAGCCTCTTTTAGCGTAATTCCTTCGATGTGAGCCTTTTTGGCAACCTTGGCAGCTTTATCGTAACCAATGTGCGGATTAAGCGCCGTGACCAACATCAATGATTGATTCATAAGCCATTCGATCCGTTTAGTGTTTGGTTGTATTCCAGATATGCAATGCTTGTCAAAAGAAATGATGGCGTCTGAGAGGAGACGGATAGATTGCAGAACATTTTTAATGATCACTGGTTTGAACACATTTAACTGCAAATTAGCTATACAGCATCTATACCTCAAAATGGCCATTGGATCCAGCAATTGTGATGGCCGTATGGTTTCCCATCACTTGGGCACAAACCATTGTCATGGCCTCGCATTGAGTTGGATTTACCTAAAGTCGCTACATAAAAACGCTACCTTTCCCGGCATGATAGAGGAACCAGGCTCGTTCTCCGGCAACGATATTTCTCCGAGGCCCGATCTTGGGCCGCTTCCAAGTAAGCGGATATCATTTGCAATTTTCATTAACGACACGGCAAGCGTATTTAGGATCCCAGAAACTTCCACCAGAGTGTCATGAGTGGCTAATGCTTCAAACTATTTGCCTCATGAGAACGTCCAAAAATAAAACCTTATTTTTTGCAGTGACAAATGGGATTTCCGTAAGGACAGAAATCTCGGCAGCAATTTCTTGGTCAAATCCTTTAAACGAATTCAAGCCCTAACCCGAATTAACGGTTGACAAAAACCGTGCCCACCGCAGTTCCACCCTGTGCGAGGGAATAAAGACGAGGAAGTGCGCCTTTTATGCGATCCCCAGAAAGATGTATCTGGTAATGGTATCCCGAAATTTCCTGCCCCAAAGTTATTGGAGTGGCATCCTACGCGGCTAAAAGCATAAAATGGTACCTGCAGATGAGTTCGCCCGATTTTGATTATATGGGAAAATTTCTCGAATGCTTGATGATGAAGAGTTGCTTTGAGCTTCTCAAGGGCGGGAAGTAGCTGCCTATGAAGAGCCAATGCACAGGAAATGTGCATTGCTGTCGGAAATGTGTCGTTGCTTGACTGTCCCATATTCACATGGTCATTTGGATGAACCGGTATTTTACTTCCTTTCTTTCCCGACAGCATCTCGATAGCTCTATTTGAGATGACCTTTAGGGGGAGCCTAATACCATTACCTCATTGACATTCATATTGGTTTGCGTTCCCGAGCCGGTTTGCCAAACAACAAGAGGAAAATGATCGTCTAGCTTCCCATCAATGACTTCCTTTGCAGCCGATTCGATAGCAGATGATATCTCTGTTGATAGTTTGCGATGTTTATGATTGATTCTTGCAGCTGCAAGCTTGATAATGCCAAGGGCATGAATAAGAGGGGGCGGCATTCTTTCTTCCACCCCACCGATCTCAAAGTTCAACAGTGAGCGCTGTGTTTGAGCACCCCAGTATTTTTCATCCGGAACACTAATTGTCCCAAAAGAATCGAGTTCTTCTCTATATTTTGACGGAACAGAGGAGAAATTGTTCAAAAGAGAAAATTGATTCATTCTTTGCAATGGGCGAGCAAGAAAACCTCTAAAATAGAAAGGTCTCATGAGCAATACGCAATTAAGTTTAAAGCTATGCCAACAAGTTAAAATTGCACTATAAGCCCCAATTTAGGCCGATATCAATTTAAAGGCATTCGCAGCTGTGGCATCCCGCAGGTTTCTCTCAATTACAACGCTAAAACACATGCTTGCCTGGATGGGCTTGTCTGGCCCATCCAGGCTCAATTCCTGGAAAGTCCGTTATTTCAGTGCTAAAATCAAAATCCTTTATTAGAACCCAATCAATGCTTTAACATTGATTGATACTTCTGCCTTTATGGCTTTGGAATACTTTAAACTGGAAAAGAAGGAAGAAGGGAGAAGGGAGAAGGGAAAGACATGATACTTTTCCGTAAATCGCCCAAATAGCACCCTTTTTATTAAGACCCCTTTTTAGCTAACTTCGGAGAATCTGGAGCCATCTCGCGACGTCATGTGGGATTCGTGTTCCCCAAGGACTACCAAAAGCCTAAAAGACAATTCAGAAGTGGATGGAATTTTCTGCAGACAGCAAGCGTCCTCGGCACTATTTGTTGAAGAGCAAGCTATATCGCCTCTTTTTACGGTATGACGTCAATAGGAAGGATGCCTGTTTATCAAAAAGATTGTCATAATTTAGACTGCTCTGCAGTGCAAAACATGCATCTAATGGGCAGATTAAAGCAATAGTTTCTCAAATGGCAAATTAACCTCCGAAATTTTAATTCGCAGCTCGTCCCACTTTTGTGTGCCTTTGGCCTCGTCATCATACTCGGCAAAAGTTCAGTGTAGCCTTTTTATTTATTTTAAAATTACAACAATCGTTTCGCCGAATTCTCAAAATAAAGATATCAATCGTTTACCCGGGTTCAAGGATAATCTACAATATATTTCAATCGAAAATGGAAATTGTCGTACGAAATCGCCTTTATTTCACCGTTATTTGACTATATAATTTTACAGTGAAATCTCAACACTTACTTTTGCGTAAGAATCGTATATTTAAGGTGCATTTTGAAACAAATAAAAGCTTCAAATTTGGAAAGCCTGCTTTGGCTCGAAAATACCGATAACCCGCATTTTGGAAGGTGATACCTGACATCTTTTTCACCGTTAAAAGTGTAATTAGGAGCCCCCAAAAGCTACCAATGTCCATTTTCACTTTCCAATGCAGAAATTCTTAAAAAGAGCATCAAGAATATCTTCTGAAGAGATTTTACCGGTGACGTATCCAATTTGCGTGCATCCTTGTCTCAATAATTCGCAAGCTATTACAAAATCACAGCTTGCAGGATCTTTTAGCAGCTGCAAAGTATTTGAAACGCATCTTTCCAATTCAACCAAGTGGGGCCTATGTCTTTCACGGAAAAAAACAGGACAATCATGCGGGGAATGAATGTCCATTCCAATTCTGTCTTTCAGCAGTGCTTGCAAAGCGGCTAATAAGGTATTGATGTTGCCAGCATCCTGAGTAAGCGTGCACAGAAAGACATTGCTGCCGAAATGGTTCCTCCATTCTGATTCGATTTTTGATTTCAAACCAGCATCGGCTAGTAAGTCGGGTTTGCTAAGCAAAAAGAGCGATTTTTTTTTGATAATATCTCTTTCCTCTTCGGCCGCATTTGGTAAGTATAAAGCTAGCCATGCAAGGAATGATTTTAGCGAAGAGTGACATTTTTCTTCCAAAGAAATCACAAATATGAGAAAATCGGCCCTTTGAGCCTCCTCCAGGCCAATGGAAATCCCCTCGGTTTCAATGGGGCATTGTGATGAATGATGAATTCCAGCCGTATCAAATAGTTGCACAGCATATCCTCCAATGTTGGTTGATCGTTGAATTATGTCTCTCGTTGTACCTGGGATACTTGAAACAATAGAGGCTTTCTTTTGCAGCAGTAAATTGAAAAGGGAACTCTTTCCGGCATTAGGCCTTCCCAAAATGCAAACCCTAGCCCCGTCTCTGGCAATTTCTCCTCTTCTATGGTCTTTGAGGTGCAATTGAAGTTCGGTGACCAATTTTTGCAATTCTTCACACACAGCTTGATCGACTTGAAAAATCTGTTCGTCATCGCCAAAGTCGATAAATGCTTCGAGCCGCGCCATCGCTTCAATCAATAATGCACGCCACTTTCCGACCAGCGAAGAAGTATTTCCCTGTAAAAAAGCAAAAAACTATCGAAACCTTGAGCTGTGCCAACGCGACAATTCTTTGTGCGTCCGTTTCGGCATTGAGAAGATCATCAAGGCCTTCGACTTCTGTCAGGTCCAACTTGCCGTTGTAGAACGCTTGTTGTGTGAATTCACCCGGTCGTGAAGCGCGAGAATTCGGATATACAGACAGCACTGACAGGAGCTTTGAAATAATAGAAACGGACCCATGTGTATGGAGCTCCACGATGTCTTCTCCGGTAAAGCTATTTGGCTCTAAAGATAAGCTAATAAAGATACTTTTGAAGTACACCGCCATGGATGTATCAATTAACTGTTTTAAACTACCAGATGTGGGATCATAAATATTTACAAGCTTCATCTTCCTTTCCTCAAACTCGACACAGCCACTCAGCTGAGAAAGGATAGAAAGCGAGTCTGGCCCAGATATCCTAACAACAGCAACCCCGGACTTGCCGAGAGGCGTAGAAAGATTGAATATTGTTTCGGTCGAATATTGGCGAAAATTGTGGCAAAATCTCAAATATTTGCGATAGATATGACAAAAAACGGGCCGTTGGCGGGGATGGAATAAAATTTTGAAAATACAGAAATATTCCACACTTCATAGAATACTTGATCTAGAAGGTTATTTTAATTATATGTATAGTAATGATTTGATCGTTAAGTGCGGGTCCTTGGCGCAGTCGGTAGCGCGCAAGTCTCATAATCTTGAGGTCGCGAGTTCGAGCCTCGCAGGGCCCATTTATTTTTTCGAAAATGGAGACCTTCTCCAATATTTTGGCCTCCTATGATCAATTTGTAGCGAATCCCTCGATTCGGGAAATTCGTGCGACAGATCCTTTTTCTGCATTTTATTGTCGCGACTTCCTGAATGCAACTTTTTTGATATCTTCTGCCTCAAAGCTTCTCGAGTTGTAAGTTAGTGTTTTTGATACTTTACATTTCAAGCTAACCGCCTACATGCCACCATGCTAGATTGTTTCATTTCCTTATCAAATAGGCCCCAAGTTACGATTGCCGTGGCGCAGGTACTTTTTGCACGGTTTTATTGTCGCATCTCGCAGGAAAAGCTACCGATGGTGGTAGGATGGGCACTTATTGGTCGTAGGATGTCACTATGGGCGTGCTCCTGCTTGCTTCAAAGTTAACAGAAAATATCCGCCGTGTCCGTGATATTGTCAACACGACATATCTGGTCTCCTCAATTTCAATTCCTCCTATCGGCCAGGAAGAGAATGGTCAGCGCTCGGGTGTATTAAATGATGCAGACACATCTACAACGCAAATGCCGCTACTCGCTTATATTGGTGCGGATTATTATGAGTGGCGGGACAGGGCCACTTTCGCAGAGGCTGTCATCCTTCGTGAGATTGGGTTTAAGCTCGAGGTAAATCTTCCCTACGGACTCCTCGTCAACTATGCAAAGGTGTTGGAGATTATTCATGATGCAGCGCTGATGTCCAAAGCGCTCGGATATATCAATGATAGTTTCAGGACCCCGGCAAACATCCTGTTCCAGCCAAACGTGATCGCGTGTGCATCGATTCTTCTTGCAGCCCGTGACTTTGGATGTGGGCTTCCAAAACACTGGCACGACCTCTTTGATGCTGACGCACGCTCTATTGAATGCGCCTGCCGCGTCATCCAAAACCTGTATGTGGCTGTCGCCGACAACGTACGACCCCATCAATAGTCCTCTCTTTTAAGCATCCTATTTTTATAAAAGCCCTGTTAATAATTCTGGGATACACGTCAAAACGCAGTCACTGAAAGTCTAATTTTATTGGCTGGGCCGTTAAGCAGTACGGGGTCTTTCGCCCTGTGTATTCCGAAGCTTGCTTTCCAGAAATAACCGCTCATCGTTGAGGTATTGGATATACCCAATGGCTAAACTTAAAATCTCAGCACAAACCCTTCTTGATAATGGTGGCTTCGGAGAGGTTAAGCGGCCCACCATGTTTAGCTTGAGATAGTATGGCATCAATGGAGCTGCCGCTACTATTTGGGATGAGACCATAAAGCTTGTAAAGTTCCTCCCGCAATAGAAACCGACGTCTTTGCTCAGACCTGATGTGATGCAGACGACGTTGCTCTTGTGTAAGTATGGGGCGTTTATCACTGCAGGCTGCATTAGATTCTCCGGACAACGGCGGTGTTGAAGTTGGACACATGACCTATGATGAAAAACCGATTAGTTTAGGGAATGTTGTTTGTGATTTCGCATGTCGCACAAACACCGATTTCTCCGAAGTTCACATCCAGACCTGGTTCGATAAAAGGTTGACAGAAATAACGACGGGCTTGCAAGAAAAATCTTCACAAATCTCTGGATTTGCGTATTAATTAAGGAATTCCCCAATTTAGAGAAGGCCTCATCAATGCACTCGACCCTTACATATGCTGGCGTCAGTCACATCCAGGCTTGCCAACCATGATACATGGCGGCAAGCGAGCGCTCATCAATTGCCTCTCGAACAAGAGCGTTGACTTGAGCTTCGGCGCTCAATAGCGAGGTCGATGCTAGTCTCTCGCGCAGTCGCGCCAAGTCCTTGTCAGCATCTGCAGGCGAATTGCGAGATTGTACATAAAGAGGGTCATGGCGGAATGCTTCGAAGAGCATGCAAATGAGCTCAGATCGGCTCCTTAATGCCAGTAAGGTTTTTGAAGCGACTCTCCCAAAAATTCCCAACGGCAGAAATAGATCATCGTCAAAACGAGTCGATTTAGAGTCTGAATCTGGGAGGAAAACTTGTGAACTAGAAGGGAAAAATTTGCAGCCGGAGATGGCAGAATGAATGCTTCCAGAAATTGTGCTGGATTCAGAAGCGCTTCGCACAGGTCTGGTCATTTCATTGCGCCAGGGACGCAGAAGCCCATCGCAGATGTCTGGTGTTAAGCGGAAAGGGACCAGCTCTGGAATCTTCAATTGCTGTCCTGCGTCAAAGATCAAGTTGAGATCTATGTGACAAAGAGTCCCCAACTCGCGTGAGATCAGAATATTCTGCGGATGGCGATCTCCCAGCCCCACCATCCAGCCGAGCATCGAGGAAACACCAACAGATTCACTATAAGCAATGCGGGCTTGAAGCCAGCCTTGCGCACCACCTTCTCGCCAGCTGCATCCATTAGCTTCCCAGAAAAAGTGGCGTAGAACCGGTGCAAATGAGCTTCGAACAGTCTGGAAAGTCGATCTCAGCATATCTGCGCAATCATGGGTGCTACCAGAGATGGTTAAATTGGCACCAGAACGAGGAAGCTCTGCTTTTTTGGAACCATTGCGTCGAAAAGTATCTGCCATCAAACGAGTAGCTTGCTCTGGTCGCATATCTTTCGGGCGTAGTCGCCGATGGGCATCCACAAGCCAATCCCCAAGAACAAGTGTATCTGAAAGCATCCCAATGACACCTACAAACTTTTGCAGCGGAATAACGGGATAAAGCTGTGTGGAAATCCCACCACCACGACGACTAGCATCACTAGCATCGCCCAAACATTGCATCACCTGAAGTACGAGTGCATCCTGTCGTAGATCATCACGTGCCTTAAAAAGCTGAGGATAAGAGCGCCCGTCACTACCATAGCAATCGAGGGCTTTTGGTGCGTTGATGCCGTTCAAGACACGGCCACGCTCTGCCCAGCCAACTACTAGCGGCCATTTATCAGTCGTAGGTGTCTTAGAAGTGGCTGTCAACACGGGGGCAGCAAGCCCACCGCTCCTGCTGATACGGACCGCATACCAAGAGCTATCGAGAGAAAAATTGCTACCAGATCCAGTGGGTGGCAACCGTACTCCAAGCTCTACGGAGGCTTCGGCGAGTTGGATTGCTGCTCTGAGCTCTGCCGCAATGGGTCCTGCTGCTAATTCCACCATTAGTTGTGCGGCTGCACCTCCACTAGATGCCCCGCCAGTCTCTGCCTTTGTTGGCCCACCAAGCACGTAAAAGAGTGGATAAAGCGCCAAAAATGGATGCGCTATAGCCATGCGTTTATATATGTGAACCAATGCTGGCTTCGAACTTTGATTATCTGCAGCATCGCGCTCGAAAAGATTCAGAAGATCGTTCTCAGAGCTTTTAGACGCAGACTTTGCCCCAAGACGTGCGGCAAGTTGATGTACGAGTACTAGCCAAATATCTGGAGTCACTATGCCATCGTCGCCAAACCACTGCCTGATGTAAACATCGACTCGATCACCTTCCCTGAACCAGAGATGGGCTACCCGTAAGGTTAGCAACAGCGCATTTGTAAAATGTCGATTATGTCCATTGCTGTCGAGATTTGCATTCTCGCGAACAGGTGTATCAATATTTCTAGATTGCAGGCTCAGAGATCCCGCATAGGCACGTAGAGCAGTGGCAATAAGAGACATGTCCTTGGTTTTACGGGCCATATCATCCGCCCATAGCCCCCAGGCAGAATAAAGTGGCGCGCCGGCAAGTGCTCCAAGAGAATAAAACACATCTTTTGTAAAAGGTGCTGCGTCTTTCATGGCGTCTTTCATGGCATCTTTTTTGGCATGAGAAAGTGCGATGTCTTCTGATAACGGTCTATAAAACGGAGGCGGCCCTCCAGCCTCATAGTATGCTGCTTCTGCGCGGCGATAAAGCCGATCAATAGTAGCGGGACCTGCAGCCCTTGCCTCTGCAGTCCATCTGGTTAGTGTCAGTATGGCCTCGATGTGTGTTAAGCTAGCGCTCGCAGAATCAAACAGCCTGGTCGAGCCCATTTGCGGCTTTTGCTTTTGGCTTGGAAGCGGGTGCAGATCTCGTTTCACTTCAAGATGTTTACATGAACCTAAATCATGTTGCAACAGAGCAATAGCCCAGCTGGCATGCCCCTGTCGCCATGCATGGTGTGCATCACTAAGAGAACGCTCTAATGCACAAGACGAGGCTACAACGGGCAATCCAGATGCCAAAGAGGTTTGAATGGATGGGATATAGGTTTCCATGTGCTCTGGAACCACCTCAGACATGCGCCAGTTGGTGAGAAGATGCGAAGGTGGTCCTCCGTGCCGACTCTCTGTCGCCATCAAATGGCTCGCAAGGATGTCGTTACCTAGAAGTTCAGGCATTTTCATTAGCAAGGCCTCTTCGATACACAAAAACTCTGCCATGTCAATAGGATCCGTCTCGCGAGAAGAAAGCAGTAGAAAGAGCGCCTCTGCGGGTTTCCAACCCATAGAAGTCTGTGACTGATGAAGCGCCATTTGCAAAAGGGGTTGGTATGAATCTGAAGCCGTTTGTGAAATGGCAGAGACAGTTCCACCTGCAGTCAGCCTTCGGCGTGAAAGCTCTAATTTGATGAGGATCCTGCCGATGGTAAGTTTAACCGACGAGGGAGCATCCGCTAAATGCATGGTAACAAGCTCTGGCCATCTATGCACTAAAAGCTGTACGAGAAGAAATCCAAAGCCATTTCCAAGCTCACTTTTTGGCACATCGTTAGCACTGTTGTAAGATTTGCGATCCGCAATAGAATCCAATGGATCTTCGCCGGTCAGAAGTGAATCAATATTTTGATATTCATACTTATCAGAGGAGGTACAAATGGCTGCGCGCAATGCATGAACCAGGAACTGTGCTCCAGAGGCAGAAATAAGCGTACATATCCATGACGGCCCTGGGAGGAGAACTTGAGAAATTTTATCCGCAAGGTCCGCAATGGTGCCTGAAGACTTTCTGGTGCGACGAGCGCCCCTAAAGCACGCAAGATAATGATTTGCTTTAGCGGCATCATCTGATGAAAGCTCAGGTATAGCCTCCAGCAATGCCATTCTTGTTTCTTCGACAACAATATCGATAGTTGGAGCTGAAAGACGCAATGACTGTGTAACACCCATCAGAAAGGCAGAGAGAATGAGCCGAAGTACACTGAAAGGTTCCCCTGCAATTGTGCTTGAAATTTCTCCCACGAGTGGATCCAGAGGGGCCGTTTTAAGCAGTAGCTGTGGTAAAGCGTGAGCTGTAAAAGCAGGGTCAAGAGTTGTAAAGGCGTTTAACGCAGCACTTTGCAATCTAGGCCAGTTCTCAAGATCCAGATTAAGCATTGCAATCGCTTCAACAAGCGGATGATGACGTCCCGAGAGGAGTATCCATAACACGCGCCAACATCGCGTCGTCGACGTCGTAAACAGCGCTTCAGGCGAATCGAGGGCAACAGCCCGCACGAGCTGCCCCAATGCTGTGCGCAACCGCCCGTCGTCAACAGTTGTGGAGACGCTAGTTTCTTTCATCTCTATTGTCGTCATATTTCCGGCAAGAAGGAGCAGGACGGCAATAGTTGCATCGAGGCTGGAGATAAGAAGATGTCGCATCAAATCCCGATCGTTGCTGATGGAGGTATTTTTGAGCAAAGAGGCTCGCCACTTGCTGTCCCAGAGTAGCATCGCCATAAAAGCCCCAAACTGCCGCTCACCTTCTGCTCGTCGTAGCCAGAAACCGATATCCCCATGGACACTTAAAAGCTGTCTTAAACAAATGGTGTCGCTCCATGGAGAAGCAATGCCTTCCAATGAGACATAAGAAGACAGTTCGCTGTCACCATCAATGATATTGGTATCTCCGACATGGAAAAGCGGAATTTGCAGACGGCTAATAGGCACCATTGCTCTGAGCGAGCTCTGTAGTTCTGAAATCCAAGCATGTGGACCTGCTACAGCGAGAGCTCGACACATGATCCAACGAGAGTACCCATCGAATACATCTGATGTATTTTCAATTTCAGTGCATTGGTGACTCGTATCGAGATACACATCGAGTCTTAGATCACGAATAAAATGAGAATTCTCCGAAATTGTGCCGGTATGCCGGCTTAAACGTAGTTCTAACCCACTCATGCTGCGTGGGTGAGGTATTGAACTGCGTCGTTTGTTTTGGGTCTGTATCCATGTCCTCACTTCAAGGGCTAAAGCAACCGACATCGGGGGAACAGAAGTAGGCGAATTAGATGATGCGGAGGCAGATGGAGCCGGGGTCAAAGACTTATTATTTGTATGTAGTGCATCAAATAAAACAGTCTCAAGAATCCAGTGTTCAATTATTTCTTCCATGAACATCTTACACGTGTCTTTTTGTTCGAAAAGCGAGAGAAGGACATCGAGAATAGCGGGTAGATGCGTAGGGTCAGTATCGAGAAGCATCTTCGCTGCAAGTCCCACTCTGATGCAAGCAAGGGACATATCTGAAGGTACTTTTTGATCTTTCAAGGATGCATCTAACATGGGAATATCAAACTTTTGATGTGAAAGTGAAACTGTCTTTGTTCTGGTACCGGATTCCATCGCAGAAACTTCACCCTGAAAGTGAGACATAGCACAAGAAGAAGGGTCCGTGAATAAAGAAATAAGAGGATCTGTCTCTTTACCCAAACGCTCTCGTAAAAGTGTAACCCTGGATGGTGACACGACTGCCAAAGGCCCGTCGTATGGAGAAATTAACAAAGGCCGAAAACTGGCTTCGGAAGTCTTCACAGACCGCGCATAAAGCCATTGTAAGACGACGTGTTCATGTGAGATTTTTTGATCCTCAACACAGGCGGGATCGAGCTCTTGGTCTGGAAAAACAAACCGACTTAAGCTGTTCAAATGATTAAGACGCCGAATAAACTCGATGTCTGTTTCAAAATGAATGGCAAGCTCTAACACCAACCAGATGTCTACAGGTGAAGAGTTTCTAGAAATAACATCGATTGTTTTCTTAACAAACTGTGTGTCAGTGTGAGTATTTTGTTCACTCTCGATGGTTTGCGGAGGACTTTGCCATCCAAGCTGGGTAACATTTTCGTGGCTTTCAAGGTTGAAATGGCCATTTGATACAGAGAGCAAATGATGGGCAATCGCGCGCCAACTGTCCCTGTCTTCTGCCCATGAGAGCAGAGAAATGATGGCTGGAAGCGCTGGGGTTAGCTGCCTCCACCGTGAGGCAAGTGCAATGTAGAATGGCAGCACGCCATTTCGACGAAGCAACTCGGCAGTGGGCGGTGGAAGCTTTACATCAAGGGCAGTCCACTTGGAGCGAAGCCCATCGTTGACGCCATTGACCGCATCTAGTAAGATGCGTAATCCTGTTTCGCTCTCCAAATCAAGGAACTTTAGTGAAACTGTTTGCGAGTGCTTCGAAATAAGCCCGTTGTTTGAAGCACATTCTGCCACACACCATTCAGTGATCTCCAGAGAAAGCAATGTGGCGACAAGACGATGAAGTGCCGGCGATGTCTCGTGTCTTGATGCGAGCAACTCGAAGGCCATAGCTGTCAATTGGTGCCGTGGTTCTCCCGTGAGATGGTTTGACCATAATGGCCTGATCAGGTCTGTTAGCATATGTGCGATAGCCGAGAATGCTACATTAGATTTTCCAATGGCCCCCATTAGCATTTCAAATGCTTGCACCATCGCTTTAAGAATACGGGGTGTCACCGGTAGAGCCCATTGCGTCTCACGGACCAGTATCGCTGCAAGTCGCACCGCAAGCACAGGAGTAAATGGTAGCAAGACAACAACCTCTTCAAGCAGCTCAACTAACAAGCCATCTTTCTGATGTAGCCAGAAAAGACTTCCGCCTTCAAACAAAAGAATAAATAGTTGAATAGCAGCGTTGACTATCAGCAACTGGCTCCTATCGTGTTGGCCACCAAGCACCATGCGTATGGACCTTACAAGTGAGGAACCAAGAGAGTCGTTCAAGTTGAGCTTTGGGAGGTGCGACAAAACAAGCGTTATCATTTTGATGCCCTCCAACTCCATAGAGTCTCCGATGATAGCGGCAATCAGGTTTTCTGCAGCGTCCTCCAAATTAACGCTGGCATCGCACATGCTGTCACTCTCTCCCCTTTCATCAGCCCATGTTTTTAAATAGGAGCATTTCGCAAAATCATCCTTGATATTTTTGGACTGGTTTTGATGATTCTCACGCGCCTCACGATCAAAGATCATTTGAGAATTTTCACCTCGCCCTCCAGGCAATGGCGGCAAAAGCAGTACAAGCGCAGACCGAAACCTATTGATCAGCTGGCGCTGGTGTACAGACCGGAGCCTCGGCATGGACGAAAACTCCCACACCAAAATTTCAATTACGAGGAGAAGAAGAAACCTCGAATTTGCGGTTCCTTTTAACCCGTTTCTCCACTCCTCTTCATCAGCAGCCTCTAATGCAAGGCTGTGAATTTCTTCCGCCATATCAAGCCTATCCCTATCCTTAAGTACAAGCTTGTATTTGTCAGCGACCTCGCTATACATTGGCAATGCAGTGAGCGACCCCTTTTTCCTCTTCTTGGCGTTACAAACAATTTCTACAACTAATTAGGGTTCGGTGTGTCGTGTATAGCCTCAATGTGTACACCTTTTAAAGCGGAAAAATTAAATTCAGGTTGCAGACACCACTGCGGTAATTGCTATCTAGGCTCAACTTCTGCGTTCACTTTATTTTATGATCGAGTTTTTTAATTGAGAGATTATTTATTTTGTTGCTCCCGTGGTATGAGGCGTCTCTTCCTGTTATGGGGAAGAATATTGGAGGCATCAACCGGGTCAAATGGAGAAACCTAACTTGTTAAGTTGACAAAATACCTCGGCTTCTGGATTAAAATCTTGCTCTATCTCTGCAACATTGACTTTAAATTCCTTTTCATCATCCCCTGCATCTTCCAAAGACGATTCTGTAGATTCGCTCCACTCCTCATCATCTGAAGAGGTAAATTCTTGTGAAAGTGTCGAGGATCCGTCAGAGGAAAGAACAGATTTATCCGAATCAGATAATCCTTCACTTGAAGAATGGGATAAATTTCGCGAACTCCCACTACAACAGGAACTGCTGTCGCTGCAACTGGAAGTGCCCATTGATGATGATGATGATAAAAAGTAACGTGATTGGCTCTACAATTGCATATTGCTAACGTTATTGCTAGTAAAAATTAAACCAAATTAAAAAGAGCCTGGAGGTCATAAAAATACACTAGAAATGTCTGGCTGTGCACAAAGCAAAGGTTATTGCCAAGTTTCCAAGTTTGGGGTTAGAATTTATTGCTTAAAGAAGGAGCTTGGCCTGGCGTTTAAAGTATGCTTTGAGAGGCCCATGATTATTCAAGTACTTGACATAACATCCGTCGTTTTCAAGCAGCCCATTGGAGCGCGCTTCGACAAACTCTGCCTTATTGAGCTTTGTAAAGCCCCACTTCTTAGAGATGATGATCTTTTGGCGACCGGCAAACTTGTACTTGGCACGGCGAAGAGCTTCAATAACCGCAGCTTTGTTTGCCTCTTTGGCACGGACGGAGAAGATAATTTGTCCAATATTTACGCGAGCAACGGTTCCGTAAGGCTTTCCAAAGGCACCACGCATACCTGTTTGAAGACGATCAGCACCAGCACAAGACAACATTTTGTTAATACGAATGACGTGGAATGGATGCACTCTGACACGCATGTGGAATGAATCTTTTCCGCACACCTTTGTGATGTACTTGTTGGCGCAAATACGTGCGGCCTCAAGAGACTCGGATGAAATCTGTTGATATTCATCAGAAACAAGATGGACACATAGAGGAAACTCTTCAACGGTAGCTCTTTTGCGACCAAGATCAAAAATTCGGATCTTTGATTCCGGAACACCGCGGCAAAAACGGCTTTTTGGGTAAGGCTTATTCTTACAGTAGCGATAGCAACGAGCAGGACGACGACCCATCTACAAGACAAAGTTAGACAATGGATTAAAAAATGAAGAGTTTGTACGGAAAAGAAACCAATTTATTGCATACCTTTGCTATACAAAATTTAAATTCTAAATCCGATTTCTTTATAAATTTAATTTTAATGCCAATTTGCAACATTTGATATGGAGACCAAGACGAGGATCACACTTGTCAGTAAAGAAGGCGTGCCCTTCAATATCACCGTTGAGGAGGCAAAAACAAGCGGGCTTTTGCGACGTATGCTTTTGGACAGGGCTGTGAACTGCAGACAAGATATTTTGCATCCTGCTGACGCACCATCAACAGACGCCAATTCTAAGCAACGCATCATATGCTGCTGTTATCGGTGCAACACCAATCATAGTGCACCACATATAGTTATTCTGGATCGAATATCGACACATTTGCTTCAGAAGGTGTGTGAATTTATGGCATACAAAGTTAAAACAGAAGAACTGATATCTACCACGATGTCCTCCACAGCGCCATCAAAGATCCGAGACCTGTGTAATAGAATCGATGGATTTTCGATTGGAGAAGATTCGGGTGAAATTTTAGACTTGCTTGTTGTTGCAGATTATTTGGACATTTGAGCTCCATATGTATGTACCATTGATTGACAGCTCGGTTAATTTCGTCAAATTCAACCGTAACCCCCTCCCATTAAATTTTTAACTTGTGCATTTTGTAGTCAAGGAATTTTGATTTTCATTATGACCCAACAAGTAAGCAATCTTGTTTCACCTCGTGTTGAACTTGCTGCACCAATGGTGGACCGCATTACATCAACCTTTGCTTTGTCGGGAGATATTTCAAAAGATGCATCAAAAGAAACTATCCCCATAAAGATGTACGCAATGCCATCTTCACATAGCCATCTGATAGACTTTGATCCGATTTGCGAATTCTACCATCAACCATCAATGAAATATGCTTCAGATCTTCAAATTAAACAATTAACGGAAACAGATCATGTCAAACTGGCGGGAAAAAAGGTGCTATTTTTCGATATGGACAATTGTCTTTATCCGCAATCTTCCGGTATTTCGGATGTTGTGAGACAGAGGATATTATCATTCTGTGCGACTGTTCACAACATGTCTGAGGAAGAGGCCTATTTTCTTGCACAAAAATACCACACAGATTATGGTCTTGCCATTAAAGGCTTACTTTTGCATCACCCAGGCACGGACCCGTCGCAATACGATACTTTTGTTGATGGTGGAATCGATATTAAAAAATCGCTTCCAAATCACTCCCCAAAGAAAATAATTAATCTCTTTGACAAAATTAAGACATTTGGAATCGAACATGTGTGGATTCTTACGAATGCAGGCTCATCTCATTCCCTGCATACTTTGAGCTTTCTTTTTGGTGTCCAGTTTGAACGGTCCGAGCCTAGTTGTGCCTCTCCTTCTTGGTTTGATGGAATAATCTATTGTGACTATTCTGTGCCAAACTTTCTTTGCAAGCCACAACTCAGCCTTTTCAGGGCCGTTACGAAAATCGCCTCTACTCCGCAGGGTCATTTTCCGGTGTTGATTGACGACAGTTTGTCAAACATTTATGGGGCTCTTCGATGCGGCTGGAGAGCAATTTGGGTTTCCGAGGATGCCCCAAAAGATGCGGTTTTCTTGGAAAACGACCGTAAATATATGCACTTTGAGGGCGAGAAAGACAATTTTTTCATTGTCATCAGAACGGTTTACGACACCGCAAATGTCATTAATTTTGTATAAAATATGTGCCACCTAATCCTACCCCTGCCGGTAGTCACCAACTTTGTGTTTACCCTGGCATCGGCCCGGTTTATCGCACTTGCGTAAAATTAAGAGCAGATGACACGCAGCTATTGGTCGCATTTCCACCAAGTAAATCGCTTTAAAATTTACCCTTCTACCATTCCTAATTTGGATTACTTGGAACGATGCCGCCAAAACAGCCCCAACGTGAAGCAAAGCCACTAGAGAAGCCCCTGCGCATCGCCATAATCCATCCTAATTTCGAGGGTATGTCGGGCTCGACTCGCTTATTCCTGAACGCAGCCCTTTCTTTTGAAGCGAAGGGACATGCTACTACCATGTTCACCATAGACTACAATTTGAAGAAAGAGTGTTTTTCTGATGAGCACATGGTAAACATCGTTTCAATCAACTCTCATTTTCCGAGCTCGATTGGTGGCTATTGTCGCCAGGTTTTTAGCTTTTTAAAGTGCATCCTTCTGGTGGTGCTTCAATTAACTGTGCTTCTTTCTCACGACATCATCATATGCGATCAGTTTCCAACAGCTGTTATCCTTTTGTTTTTGATAATGAAGCTGATGTTCATGAAGGCTGATAAAAAACCAACCCTTGTGTATTATTGCCACTACCCCGAATTTGCATATCTCGGCCATTTACAGAAGGGAATCCTAGTCAGGCTCTATCGCGGGCTTGTCAACATTATTGAAAAAAGCGGAATTCAATGCGTCGATATTCTTTATGCGAACTCCAACTTTTCTAAGAATGCCATCATGAAACACTATCCGCAATGCAGAGATGTGGATGTTTTGTATCCAGGAATTTCACAGCCCATTTCCAGCGATGTAGCTTCGCATTCGTTTTTCAAGAAAAATCCAATATGTGACATTGTCAAAAACACCAACTGCATCGTTTCGATCAACAGATTCAGCATACACAAAAGTCTCGAGCGAGCTCTGGTATTAACAAGCGAGTTGAAAAAGCGAAATGTAAGCTTTACTGCCGTGATCGCCGGTGGAGGCAATGACATCGAGATTGAGAACTTGAAGCCTTTGCATGACCTTGTAGCGTTGTGCAAGTCGTACTCGTTATCGTTTACGGTCGCACATGCTAATGAAATCGTCTTTTCCTCGCAAAAGCAACCTAAAGATGGCGCTGATGTTCTATTTATTGTGAATGCCACAAATGAACAGAAGAGCTTTTTCCTTAGTCACTCCAAAGCGCTTTTGTACACTGCTTCTGGTGAACATTTTGGCATGGGCATTGCTGAGGGAATGCTTTCCCACTGCCTCCCCGTAGCAATGGCATCTGGGGGTCCATTGGAAATTATTGAGCACATGAGGTCGGGGTATTTGATGCCTCAACCAGCTGATGGTGAGTCTTTTTCTCCGCCTGCAGATCTTGTCGATTTATTGGCTAGGCTTTATGATAGCAACTTGGGTGTTGAGGAAATACCACAAGATCTCAAGAAAATAGTGGATAATGGATTTACCCGCGCAAAATCTCTCTACACAATCGATATCTTCACAAAGACTATTGTGACCCACTATTACGAAAGCAGAGCTAAAATTAATTAAAGGACTTGCAACTTCATATCTTAGTCATAATCCATTAAGATAACATCAAGTTAAGTGCCATAAACGACCAATTAATTTTGGTCCGTTTAGGCAGGGATGAGGGTTGGTAACCATTGTACTGTAGGCCCATGTTATTATTAGATTTAAATGGAATATACAAAATGAGATTTTTTTGCCTCATCGAAAGATATGACTCGCTATGGCGTGCTTTGTCGATTGAGGACAGTACTCGATCATCTTCTCGGCTAAATACTGCCATTGAATGCAATTAATGAAATCTTGGCAAGCCCCATTGATAGCCGTCTGTCTACTTGCGTTGAGTTTACATTGACGAAAATTAATTTGGAGCCGGCAATTTACAAAAGTTGGAAGCTGCAATTTTTATTTTTCAAGACGTTGCCAGGCGCTACGTTATCCAATAAGCGTGTGACCGCCAAATATGAAACAAGTCTTGAATCTCCGTTCGCTTGCAAATTTTCAAAAACATGCTGACGAAAAAAGAAGCTAAACAGCCCTTTGGTGCTAAAAACAGCCCAAATGAGAGCTCGTCTTCGCTAGCATGCCATTCTCCCTTTGCTGCAACAACGTTCTTTGATGGTATCAACAAAGGTATCGTGATATTGCCGGATGACATACATTTGCACACCGTTGTTTGTCCATCGACAGGTACCTCGACCCTCCCGCGTTTGGATTCCACAGAAGCATCCCCCTTCTACTCGTGGGTTAAAATGGCATTGGGGGCTGCGCCTCCAGCGCCGGGTACCCCGCCTAAGCATACGCTTGCTCAAATTGACACATATCCACAGGAAAAACATGCTCCCGATGCAGATATTGATGAGTTTTTTTATGGGCGCTCGAAGGATGCGTCGCCGAAACATCATACAACACCCGTCATGTTCATGCAAGAAAGAAATAACTCGATTCCAACTGTCAATACAGCAGCGGCAAAGGCGCTTGGTTGCTCTGCAGTACTTCTCCACCTGTGTTCTTTTGAAGATGGAGCAAAGGAGCCTCGAATCCTTGTTTTTCAAGTCCGCGATGCTCAACTTCGCTCTTGCCGCATTCCCTCTGGCAAAAAGCGTGGAAGTCCACGTGCTATCTCTGAAGCATTTCTCTTTCCAACACTAGAGGAATCCATTGACATTCATGTGTCACTAGCAGCAGTCACATCTAGCCCCGGCATGTGCGAGGATTTCTCGTCCAGCCGCTCGATTCATTCCAGCATGAAATCATCGACAGGGTCTTCCCTGGGAAAGGCAAAGGCTATTCTTGATTCGGTCCTATTCAAGTCTTCGTTCTCAAGTCTCTCTCCAAAAAGCTTGCTTATGAAAGGAAGAAGGGGATCTACTATATTTGACAGGATGGACGGGTCCAAAACTCCGGAAAGCCCCATCCTCAACGCTAGGAGAAAGGAAGAACCATTCATAGCGTCCACAATTTTCCGCGTCGATCTTGTCTCAGCGGCCCACTCAAAGTTACCGCAGTGGTTCGAATTGATACTACCAATGGCCGGTGCGTCCGGTGTTGCCCGCTTGGTACTCTCTGTCTCTGCACTCTACGCGCCCACACCTAGCAAATCAAAATGGCGGTCAAGACCAACTTCACTCCTTTCTCTGATCAATCTTCAGGAGCATAATGGCATCCCAGCACATGCCGACTATTTGACGCTTCTGCAAAGAAACTCCTCGCCAATGAAAGTTTCCACTTGGCGCCGCTTTTGGGCTGTTGTTGCTGCAGGCAGGATCCTGCTCTATCCCTATCAACAGAAAGAAGCTGTGCTTCCTCTCCTCACCATCGAGCTGACCAATATTATTGGTGTGAAAGCGGCCGATCCAGAGCGTCTGCACCAACGCAATGCTTTCCACTTGATCAGCGACAGCGGTGTACGCCACTCACTGTATGCTGACTCGGAAGCAAGTCTCAAAAAGTGGATGGCAATATGTGCGGTTGGGCACTCCTCAAACGCCACGACAGAACTTCCGCTGCTTTTCAATAATATCAAAACAGCGCCAGCTTTGCCCACGTGCTAAAGCATCCGGAATTCATTGAACCAAATTGACAATTAAAATTAAAATAAAAAATAAAAATAAAACCCACAACAAAAATACACGGTTTTCGAATTGCAACCGCCCCCACATGGCATTTAGTAAGCGACGCAAAAGAAGTGGTGCACAGAAGAAGCCCTTCTCGACCTTGTCAGCATCTCGCCCGCGTGCTGAATTTCGCCAAATCGAGCTAAAAAACGACCGTTTCGAGTCTTATTACAGGGGATCTGTTATTCCAGAGCAGGAGTGGGAAGATTTTATTGGGCGGATGCGAGAGCCACTTCCTGTTACTTTCCGCCTGCCGTTTTCCTCGATGTCTGGGCTTTTGGAAAAATACCTTTCCAAGGAGTTTTCTTTTCTGGAGCGCATCGAATGGTATCCTGCGCCAGGCTCAGCCTGGAAAGTAGCTGCGGGACGCACTCAGGTGCGGCGAGAAACGCACTATGCCAAGCTACACAGTCTTTTGGTGCGTGAAACAGAAGTTGGTAACATCTGCCGCCAAGAAGCTGTCTCTATGATCCCACCGCTCTTTCTCAAAACTCTACCCAGCGATTCTGTGCTGGATATGTGCGCCGCCCCAGGCTCAAAGACATGCCAGCTGGTAGAGATGATGCGATGTGGCCCGGATACTGGATCTTTTGAAACCCCTGCAACTTGTAGCGAGCAACTGCCTCTGCCTACAGGTGTCGTTGTGGCAAATGATGTGGATGTTGATCGTGCTTCAATGATGGTACACCAAGTAAAGCGTATGAACTCACCATCGCTTGTGGTGACCACAGTGGATGCCTCGCAATTCCCGACGTCTCAAAAGTTTGACAAGATCCTCTGTGATGTTCCTTGTTCAGGCGATGGTACCCTTCGCAAGAATAAGTTGATCTGGCGCACATGGAGCGAACGAGACGCTCAGGCTCTGCAGCCGCTGCAAATTGCCATCCTCAACAGGGGGCTCTCGCTATTGCGTCCAGGAGGCAAGCTAGTATATTCTACATGCTCCATGAATCCAATTGAGAATGAGGATGTTATCGCAGCGGTCCTTGAAAAACGCCATGCGGAGTTTTCACTTGTTGATTGCACCCAACAGCTTGTTGATCTTAAACGGCGACCGGGTCTGTCTAGGGGTTCCCCAGATCTCGCTACAGAGCGATGCATGCGCTTTTATCCTCACCTTCAGGACACTGGTGGCTTTTTCGTTGCAGTGATTGAAAGCAAACATTGTGATCGGGCGGACCTAGTGCCTCAATCTAAGGATGGAGTTGTGGAATCAAAATCTAAAGTGGAGGCGGTATCTGCTCAAAAAGCGGATCCTATGCCTGCTTATTTTGCTGAGGCGATTGATGTAGCACTGGACCAGTGGGGGCTTAGAGGTGTCTCTAAAACACCACTCACCGATCTCATCATTGCCAGGAAGACGCCCGATGGTGACTCTGAAGATGGTCAAAGCCAGAAACTTTTACCTCATCTTTCACTGATTTCTGCAAAAGCTCGAAGTTTTTCAGAAGCATGGTCCGCTAGAGGTGCAGCTCACCTCGTGCTATATACGGGTCTTGCTGCATTTGCGCGCCAAGATGGCAACGACTCGTATCGAATCAAATACTCGGCATTGCCTTATTTGATACCATTTATGGACACTTCACGAATTATTTCTATCAGTGATCCTTCGGATATCCTTTCTCTGTTGACGGATAATGCCTCTGCAAATAAGAATAGTGCAGCGCCTGTCCAAGTTGATGGTGCCCCGCAGGATGCTTCAGACCAAGTTGATGGTGCCCCGCAGGATGCTTCAGATCAACTTAATTCTACCGACACAAACTTGTCAATTGAATTTGAACAAGATAAGCTGCCTGTACAAGACACACCACTTGTACCCACCAAGGAAAAGGCCAAGAGTCAACTCGTGCGTATAGAAGAACTTTCCCCCTCCTTAAGGGAGGCTTTGGAACCACTCCCTATCGGATGCCATATTGCCCAGATCGCGAATAGATCGAGTTTTATCGTGGTCCCCTTATGGCGGGGCCGCTTTTCAGCCCATCTGCTCGTTAGCAAGCTCGATAAAGCGTCTCTTAATTTCCTCTGCTCCATTCCGGCAGACGTTTGATTAAATTACTTTTTAATGGCCCACATAAATTCAATTTCAATAAGCTCCCGATGGCAGAAGATCAAGTCCGTGGTGTTGGTCTTCTCATCAGCAAATCGTGGAAAGATTTTCTGCATTTACAAAAAGGATACGGGGTGGCACTGTTGGCGTCGATATTTGAAGCTTGAAATAGCCATCTGGTTGCAGCTGAAGCATGGTGATCATCAGGTCACAGCACCGATTCCAGATCATCTGTGCAAAGGCGGGCCGTGGTGAACCTATCCTGGATTGATGGTTTGTGAACGCCACCTACGACAAAATCAGCAAATTCCCGATACAGAGTTTCCGAGATCCTTGGATGCATGTTGAATTAGGCACGAAACCGTCTTGAGGTTTGCTGGCAGGGTACAATCATTTCCCGGCAAAATTTTGGATGCCATCGAAAAACGAAGTGGCCGTGTAAGTGAATCAATCAGCAACAATGCCCCATCCGGGGTCGTTTTCAGGGCTTCGACAAATGCAACGTAAAATTCATCCATATCTTGAACCTCGAACCAAGTTTGAAGCATTCCAGGGTTGTTGTGGAGCGCGTGAGCGTTGGAAAAGTATTTTTGAGCGAGTCTGGCCAAAAGATGACGTGCCGGAAACCCACCTTCAGAATCTAGCAAAAGAAACCTGAACTTACCGATAATAATGCTGCTCTCGGCAGCAGAAACAAGTGCGACCATGGCCAACATGAATGATTTTCCGCACTCTGGGGGTCCGGTAATCCCGATTACCATGCCAGGCGCCGTAGCGATGGAAAGTATATGCAGAAAGTCTGCGCTTGCTGCAACGGCCGTGCTAACTTCCATGCATTTCTTTTGTAGATATATTTCCCAAAGGGAGGGATGCTCATTAAACATAGTAACAAAAAATTTATTCTTTAACGAAAAATAGCACGCTACATGAGCGAGTTTGTTGATAAGCTCTTTCTTTGCTTGAGCCTCAATAATGCCTTTGGCTAGAAACGGCTCTTGGCGGCCATGAGAAAATAACGGTTCGCTTGAGAAACGTAGAAGGAGCAGGCGCATGCCCCATGGTCCAGAGTGGTTCTCGTTAAGCACCTTCATGCCATATTTAGTGGCCTCTGCACTATAAACCTTCAATGATGCAACGACCCTTTTGGTATTTTCACGTATAGGAGCTGTTTGTTCTCATGTATATCATTAGATATTTACGCTGTTCTTGGCATCAAAGTATGCTTGAAAAAATGAACGCGACATGTGACAATACATGGAGAAGATTTTGATAAGCGCGGTCTTCTCTAGTGGAATACGCATCAATATGTTTGCCGATCTAAGGAAGGAATAAAGTGCCGGGCTTTCTGCTCCGGATTGGGAATTTTTTCCTTTTAAAGAGGGGTCCTGTGCTTTTTTAAAGGCTATTTTTGGGCACAAGGCCAAGGGATCAAGAACGTAGTTGCAATCGAGGGGTTTTGGAATGGGTTGTAATTTTTCAAAGCCCTGGATAGACAGAAGCCACTTTAGGCCACAGAGGTGCATCCGATGCATTCAAAAATTTGGTTGGCACGCTTTTATACTTTTTCTCTTCAATGCTATCATCAGAGACGGCAAGCTGGGTTCCCACGGATATTCGAAAGAGAGCAAGCATAATGGCAAACAAAATGAGAAGAGAAAAGGTCACGATGACTAGCAGTATGAAGATGTTTCTATTTCCATTTCTCATCATCGTATATGGAAAAAATATGTCCGCAATAAGCAATTGAAAACAAGGTCCATGCCACTCCAAAAGGGGCAAAACATGTAAACGAGCTTTCAATGTCACATTTGAAAATTGAAAGTGTACTTGAATTTGGAAATTAATTTTATCAATCCGCGTTGATGGCCTCGCTGCTGCTGCTTTCTGCACTTGCTTTGCTTTCGTTCGGGCTTTTCTTCTCAGCAACAACTATTATGTACGGTTTTTATTAATCTCTAGAAAAGTAGATGAATCCACCCGCTCTTCGTCACAGCTCCCTGGCGCCCTCATCTTTTCGGCCTTTTCTAGCTTAGCCCTTGCGTGCGGCACCGTTTTACTTTTGATATCATGTGGCGTGCCCCTCTAACCGAGTATTATAAAGTCTAGAGATTTTTCTTTTTTAATGTAACATCTCACTTTTCCAACGGAAACACGAGAGTTCAAAAAATAATTTACTTTTGGCAAGCTTTCCCAGTCCAATCAATACAACTAAGTTGCTTCCGTGGCCGTGGCCGTGGCCGTCTTTAAAAGTAATATTGTGCCCGTTGGCGAAAGAACGCAATTTGTAGAGCACTCAGAAACATCCGTGCTTGAAGGGACGTTTCCCTTTGGCACAACAAGACTTTGTTCAATGACGGGGTTTAACAGAAGGAAATCATCGGAGGCAACATCAAATGCACTTGAAAGCAATGAACGCGCAAGTCGGTGCTTAAAAAACATGCGTTGGACCAAAGAGCGTTTACGTGGACTTGAAATAAACCCGAAACGAAAAGGATATTGTCCAAAGGCAAGCATCCAGCCTTCAGGCTTCTCTGCATACACGCCACGAACGGTCCTAAAAACAGCTCGGAACTCATTTGCTTCCCCAAATATTATCAGTCCCTGCTGAAAGGCTTGAAGGCCAGGTGATTTTGGCAGAAGAGAATTTAGGATCTTTTCTTTGGCCGTCAGTATATGTTGCTCAAAATCTCCACCTGCGGCAGGCTCGCTTTCCGCGTCCGTGTGAGCAGGCCCAGAATTCTTCAAAATTTGTTGCCCTTTGCCAAAAAGCTGCTGCGTAGTTGGAGGACTCGTCAACCCCAAATAAATCGCAATCTTATTGAGAGTGGAAAGATTTTCATAGGCATCATTTCTAAGCTTCGTATTTTCTAATTCATTAATTTCCTTATTAAGCCATTTATGGACGCGCCACGAATTGATGTCAGCAAAGCTACTGGACTGAGATTTCTGATCGTCTTCCTCTAGTTGCTGAAGGTGCTTTTTCGCAGAAGCTTCGATCCATTCAAATTCCAATCCAGCTGCGGTAAGAATGGGCTCAATGAATTCCTCAAAAAGCTCAAATTGTTTTGAAAGGCTCTCTTTATCACAAGATTCTACAAGAAAAGTCATTTTTGTTGGGAGCTGATTGTGTGGCATTGGAGAGTCTCCATATGATTTAGCCAAGGCCTTATAGTTGTTTAAAAGCCTGTTTGATTCAAATCTATCCCAGGCAAAAAGTGCCGACGGAATTCCGACAACACTGGCCGCGATAACGGGGCCGCGATTGGCCTTCAGAAAACTGAACAACATCCGAATTATAAATTTTAATTTTGCTCAATTAAATTTATACGGCACGTCAAATAATTAAACGGACCGCAATTGATGTCAAATATAACAGATCCAGACCGCATATTCAATCAATAAACCTAATCTGATTGTCAGATCCATAAGGGATAAATAGATTAACCACACGAACACCGGTTAAAATACAATTTTTTTCAATTCAACTAGATCTTCTAGAGCCTTGGCTGTTCCCTTGAGGGCCAGCTCTGCGATGGGCAATTCATCTTTAGAAGAAGATTGCACAAGCGCCTCGACAATCCAAACGCCGGGCGGTTGGATAGGGCTTTCGCCATCGGCCTCTTCAAACAATTGATATATCTTCACGTGAACGATGGTTCTGCTCGGAAGAGCAGTGTTAATGGGCATGTAATGGTATCCCCTTCGAAGAAATTTCTTCTTCGCCACGAAGCCCATTGACTGAAGAATGATCAGAACATCTTGATTGCTTCCCTTGAGAATCTTCGATGTGGTTTTGCTTTGAACAATCATGGAGTATGCTTTCTGGACATTTCCGTATACAGAAAACTCATGGCTGGTGTTTCCGCCAACCCCGATTTGCTTGAGATAATGAAGTATTGAAGAGCTATTTGTTAAGCGAAATTGGAGCCATCTCACCTGCCATCGTGAATGGAAGCGCATAGGATTTCGGTCTCCTGTAAAAGATGCTCGTTAAAGGAAATTAATCTTAGTCGCTCTTGCAAAAGACCGATGTCTGGCGAGCAGTATTGCCCCACGAGCTTTGATATTATCAGTGCCATCAGAGAATAGCAAATGGCAAAGTGAATAGCTAGCTCGAGTGTCAATTAAATTAAATTTTATCGATGGCAGTTTTTAATTGGCAATGCTCCTTCGAAGGGCCCCAACTGCCGCCTCATCCATGCCAAAAAAGCCGTTTGTGGCAATAGAGCCAAAGGGACCGGCAGTGTACTTTCCAAAATACACGGTCACACTCCTTCTTTCTGCTCCGCACCATAGGAAAAACCAGGCGAGCTTCAGAGTTCCCTCTCACATTACCAAATTCGATCTGTACCAGTATCTTACCAAAATCTATGGATTGAATATTTTGAAAATCTCTACGTATAACTTTATACCGAAATATTACAAAGAAAATGGGGTCGATACCCGCACTCGTGCATGGAAAAAAGCAATCGTTGATCTAGACCACGAATTTGAGTTCCCCTCTATGCCATCTTCAAAGCCTTCCCTCAAAGAAGACGAAAGTAAAAATAAAAATGCCGAAAAAGAAGAGAAGCAGGGGCAATCCTTTATACAGCAGGAAAAGAAGCTTACCAAAAAGGATCTCATACAAAGACCTCATAGACCTGCATTCAAGCTGAGAAAAAGAAGAGGGCTTCGTTCCCTTTTGGCTGCCATGCAGACAGCAAAAATCCGGAAAATTCCAAGAAAACGCTCCAAAAGCAAATATGCGACAAAGCCTTTGGTACAGCAGCCTCCAAGCATAGCGATTCCCTCTTCAAAGCTTAAACGTTCGCTGACCAAAAAGATAAAAAGAAAAGATCGTCGAATGATGCCTAGAATTATCGTCGATTCTATTCGAGACGTTCCAAAGGAACACTTCTAATAAAACATAATTTATTTCGTCAAAGCCGGCATCAGCTTGAGGGGGCGGTTGAAGGGGGCCGATATTGTTCTGCAAATATCCTATTCAACCCCAAAGCGGCACCCTCAATAAGTGCAAGAAAGATACCGCCAATCAGGGCACTTCTAAAGGACATGGCGGGGCCGCCTCTGGCTGCAAGAACACCCCCGGTCAGTGCACCGCTTGCGATGGCGTTCCAAGCATCTTCCTTTTGGCGCAGAGATATTAGGGCACAATCAAATGTGGAAAACATGCCTCCCCACACTGAAAAATTACCACCAAGAACCGGTGCTCTATATTGCATGGACTTGAGAGCACCACGAAGCCTATCTCCAATTGGGGAGTTCCGATAGCCTTTAACAAAGTGCCAAGTTCCACCGCCAATGGTTCCCATGGCGAAAGCCATTCCCGCGTCTTCCAATATCCTCCATGGGCTATAAATAAAAATAAAAATCGAAAGCATTACCAAGGATCTCTCGTATGATCTATGGGCATTTATACAAAAGTATAAAATTTGCATTTAATAAATTTTATTTCATTATACGATACTATCCAATGCTGAATAAAACATCCAAAAAAGAATTTATTATGCACAATTCAAATCTAAAAAGTGATGTAAAGCTAATGATTCGTACTCAATGGAGATATAGATCAAGTCAATGACAACTTTGCAAAGAGATCCAAGCCCGTGCGGCGGCTTTTCCAGGATTTTGTCAAAGTGAGTGTCTCCCAAGTCTTTGTTCACTATTACCGCCCATGCATCCGCCTCTTCCCCGTCGTTATAAATTATATATTCGGACAAACTGGCCCAAGGGTGCTGCGATACATCGGTGTTTTCGCAATCGATTGGATTGAGAGGCAAGTCAGACATTTCCTTGCCCATGAAAAATAAAATCCCATCTCGCATTAATCAAATATCGAATCAAAGATCCAAATAAAGTTGGCATGATTCCAAAACGGGAAGTGGTAATTTATTTGGTTGATTGGGTGGTTTGTTAGTTAGCTGGTTAGTTGTACTTGGCGAACTCAACTTTCAAAATGAGATTGTCATATCCATGGTTATTGATCATTGCAATGGCCTGATCAGCATCGGATTTTTTATAGAACGACACAAACGCATAGCCCTTGCAGAGATTGGTGGCCGGGTCTTTGGATAAATATAAACGAGAAATTGTTCCGGCGCACAGGAACAGTTCGCGAAGATCGTTTTCCGTGGTATTTTCGGACAAATTTGTTACCCTGACTGTGTATACCTCGGGACCGGAGGACGAGGAACAAGGGGATGACGCAATATGGCTGGATGATGAAGAGTCCTTTGAACGAAGGCTTGGTGCAACATATTTACGCCCAGCTAGTTCTGGCGCAGTAAACGCTGGAGACTTTGCAGTGGAATCGATTGAAGATTTCGAGTCTTCCGCTGCTTCAACAAATCTATCTTTATAGGGACATTGCCTGGTCCAGTGAGAACCCTCGCAATAGCGACAAGTGATGGATTTGGACTGTTCCAGCTTTAGGATGGTGGATTGGCCAGACTCTTCAAGCTCAAAGTCTTTGCCTGCAGCGAGGTATAGGAAAACAGGCTCACCAAGCAGCGTTGTTTTGGTATTTGGGCCTGGTGGATGGGATCGTGCTTCACCGAACTTGGTCCACGACCGGCGTGACGCAATAATTTCAGAGACTTGATTAACGACGAGCTTTTTCTGGATTTTTCTCTTTGTGATCACTTTCCGACCCACATCATCAATGCGCTCTTCTGTGAGCGTCTCGATAATCACGGGAGAGGAGGACATTTCGCCCAAAGCAGCCGACATTGTAAAAAACTTTATTTCAAACTTTTTTACAAACTTTAAATTTAAATTTTACATATAAACTAGTTGCCGCTAAACATAGCCGTCCAGAGGCGTTAAAAATAAGCCAAACGGAGGCGAATGCCAATAAGTTAAGGGAGGACCAGAAACCGTCGCTAAACGTTCACGTGGGGCTGAACATGAGCTGGAAAGACAAGTTCAAGTTGAAGTTGAAATAGGCAGTGGACGTACCGCGGCAAAAGCTTCGAGATACAGGCGAGTTGACATCGCCAGCAACGAGGAAAGTAGCTGCCGTTTTTTGGACGAAACCTCGATGCAGATGTGTTGAAGGCAGCAATTTCCGGGACAAGTGCTCTAATACGTATATGTAAATGCAATTTGACTCAAAACCGGCCGAAACCAACGCGGTGATGTCTGCGTTTTAGGGGCGCATCAATCCAAACGGACTTTACCAGTTTGGAGAGTTAATTAATTTAATTTAACATTCACAATCCTTTCAAGACTTTCATTTTGAAAATGCAAATCGGCAGTTTGGGCGATCTGGGGCCTTCAGGCCGCCGGATAGCTCACGTTGCAACTCTGAATTCGAGTCTTCCAGATCCTTTGGAATCTGTCAACCAGAATATCCCAATATCTCTGCGTCGAACTACTCTTGAGAAAATGTTCCGAATCTTTCTCGATGAGGTCAAGCTAAAGCGAGCCATACCGGACTCTCCTTCAAATGAAAAGGAGCCCGGTGCATGCATTTATACATTTCCATTTATGGAAATGGCATATGAGCGAGAGCGCAAAACTGCATCAAGGTGCATGAAAAAGACCTCATACGTTGCTGAAATGGCTTCTCACCTTTTATTTTTGAAAAGGCAAGCGATACCAAAATGGATCAAAGAAAACTGTGGCCATGAAAGTGGCAAAGAAAACAAGAGCACAACGGAGAAAGACACGGCTCCAGCCAACTCGATTCCCGTGGCTTCCTTTGCTGCTCCGCAGCCTCCGCCATCCAAGATCGAAGTGCTCCTCGGAATGCCGAGACGGTTTTCAGAAATCCAAATGTATTTGCTAAGTTCCGAACAAGCTGCCAAAGTTGGGATTCCTTCAAAAGATTACCGATTTTCATATCGTATTTCTTCAGAAACGTCTATCGCTAGCGATCCGGTTGCATGCGAGCGATGCGAGATTGAATTTATTCCGTCGAATTACTACAAGTCTTCAAGCCCATCCTCATGTGCGTATCACGAGGGAAAACTAAGATGGCCTCCAGCAAATGCCGAAAACAGTAATCGTGGCATGCGGAAGAATAACACTAAGCGGTGGAGCTGCTGCGAGGGCGATCGCTACTCGACAGCGTGTTCTTTGGCCCAGCTTCATGTCTATCGCATCCCAGCTATTGCAGACTTTGAGATGGGGGCTTCGCCCGCATTTTCAGACGCAAAAGTAGATCTTTCCAGGTCTGTTGTAACTCATTCGTATGCGTACCCTACGTTCCTTGGGACTGATGACCAAAAGATAACCATCATGGGTATCGATTGCGAAATGGTATTCCCTGAGATTTCACATCTAGATATATACGCTCAGTGGTCTCTCTCTTGCAAGAATTAGTATCGTTGGGTGGGACTCCCAAAGCGTGCTCCTTGATTTGCTTGTCAAAAGCAAAGATCAAGTGGTTGATTACAATACCGCATTTTCTGGGATCACCGAAGGAACTTTTAACGGACAAAATAAGGATGGGCCACCGATTGTTTCTTTTGAAGAAGCGCAGCTAAGGGTCGTTGATTTGTTATCTTGTTCCGAACGCGTCGTTCTTGTGGGCCACTCGATTGAAAACGATCTGCATGCCGTGAGGGTAACGATGACATCAACTGATCACCTTTAGGTAGCCCATGACCTTATCATCGACACCTCGGTGCTGTTTCCCCATCACTTGGGACCAAATTACAGGTACGGATTGAAAGGGCTTGCTGAGCGATATTTGCAGGAAAAGATCCAGGCCAACATTGGACACTCTTCACTGGAAGATGCCAGGGCTGCCTTGGATATCTTCAAGTTCAAGCTTGCTTTAGATCGAGGCCTAATTGCCATCACCCAGTGAGCCAGCTTGGCTATTGTTCCTCTGTGAACAGGTCCATTTTATAAATAGACTTGATGTTTGCAAACCTTATCTCGCCTCGCCTGACCAGGCCTTGTTTATCTTGATAGAAAAAAGCACTTTTAATGGGATGCTTTTGGTTGCGACCAAGTATTCAGTTTATTGTAACAGAGCAGCATCTCCATTAGTTTTAAGCAACTCACGGGCGTTGGAGATATCGTTGTAAATATCTTTGACAAGTGCATCTAGAGGGTTAGAGATCAATGATGCAGGGGCGTCGCCGTCATTCGCCTGTTAGCCATTGCGTATTCACCTTTGTTGACATATTTCTTCTCTTCTCTCAGGTAACCACAAACGACGATGCAAAGTTTAGACCCATAAAAAGGCTCCAAAAGTACATCGATAAGATGAACCTCCACCGAGCGTTCCTCGTTTTCATAGTGTGGATTCCAACCACTGCTCATCACCATAGGATATATGGTCGCGGCCGGCAGGACCCTCGCCCAGCCATAGTAGATGCCTAGCGGCAAACAGTTAGCCAACATATACTCAATGAAACATGTGTAAATTGGATCGGTTATAAAGATGAAAGATAAAGAAAAAACACTCGCAAATTGCTAATCACAGGTGGGTGGTACCTGGTTTTGTGAGGCCTCGCTGCACGATCGACTTGACGGAGTCAGAGTCCAGATTCGCTATAGATGAGGTCAATAGGTGCACCTGTTGGAATCCCTAGTTCTGAAGATCCGCGGCCAAAACCATGCACCACGATGCCCTCGCACAGAAAGGGGAAAGTACTCATCGAAAGATAACTTTGCTAAAAAACCAGAGTCTCCAATGTAAGCCAATTAATCGGCCAATTTTTTATCGCTCATGTTGAGTTGTTTATCAGCTATTTACTGGATCGCTATCAAAGTGTATCACTGGAGTTATCTGGCATTATCTGGAAGCATCTCGCTCTATCTGGCCTTATCCGTGGAGACGAAACGACGGCGAAACGCTTCTTCGCGATAAAGGTCCCACGCCTCGCGCCACTTGGGCGCAGCTGTTTCTGCAGAAAAGACAAGCCGTGGCCCCCATGCTGTAGAGCCTGCGACAGACTTTCGAGATCCGGCTCCATCCTCCCGCAGGGCCATCCCATAGTCTGTGAGACTTTTTTGCAGCTGACGCTCAAACTTACGCGCACTAGAAATAGATACACTCCAATAGCGGAGATATACTAAAATTGCTATAATGATCAGCGCGACAACAGCGATGCCACTCACAATCCAATCTGCGGTCCGTAAAATCAAAGACGAAGTGGAGTCGGACGCGCTGTTGACGCTTGTTAATCCGAAAGCAGCCACCCGCGTGGCGAATGCACGGAAGTAGAAGTACCATAGGACGACGCTTATCAGCATTGCAAGTGCAAGAATAAAGTATGCTACATATGATCGCCGATGGTTCGCCTAGAAATGATGGCGTTTCGTCACATACTTACCTAGGTGGCGCCGCCGAAGCCGCGCTAGGGCCGCGTAGTTCTGTCGCAATCTCTCCTCAAAGCAGAGAAGATCTACGGTAAAACGAGCTGATACACCTTTAAAATTGGCGAGTAATGATGCAGCATTAGTTCCCTCAAGCATGCAAAATAAATCAAAAATATCAGATGCTTTAGTAGAGCGGTTTTACTTTGACACGGTGCACGAAAAGAGTGCCTGCGGCCGCTGCCCAGGAAACCATCCCTGCGCCATAGGGAATACGCTCGACATGGGGCTCGAAAATGGCTGCGGCGATGTCGTTGCCACTGAAGGTCGGCGCAAGGCTAGGGTTATGATTAGCACGCCGTGATGTAGCAGGCCCTTGAGCTTTGATTGTGCTCTTGAACTTGGACCGGGTGCCAGTGCGTGGGCAAGTTTCCTCGGCACTGGAGCTCAAAGTGACGCTTGAGGTTGTCCCGGTAGTACCAAAATTGACCCTAGTCCGCAGAAGGGGCACCAAGGAGATCACATATGCCCCCGCCTTCAGATCGAGAAACCGTAAGACAAGGTTGTGATTGAGTGTGGGTGGAAAAGTCAAATTATTCACAAGTACAAGATCGGCATTCCGCAATAGCTCAAGAGGCACTGCATCTGAAAGAAAATCGCCCAAAATCAACTGGGTGTCCCATGAAACCTTTTTGGAATATTCATAGAAGCCAACTGCAGCAAGCTTCTCTGCCATTGCCTTCTTGTAAGCAACCGCAAATTGATGCAGATGCGGTTGACACTCCACGCCAACGGCCCTAGCGCATTTCATTGCAGCCAACAGAACGACATTTCCTATTCCGGACCCAAAATCGACAAAGAAACTCCCTTCGTTGCAATATTTGTCAAGAATCAGCTCGCGAACAAGCATGCTGTTTAGCTCGCCATATGTGAGCTCAGGTAACCCGCGGGGTGATCGCAGACTAGCCCGCCTGGAAGAAAAAAGGTTCAATTGCTGTTCAACGCGGATATAACACTGATCGGCGACAAGGTCGAGCAAGGTACCGCTAGGCGTTTTTCGCGCCACATCCCGCAATAAAACATGCTGTGCCATCCAATTTGAGCATTGAGCAGCTATTGCCGCGACGGTGTCTGGGGTTGGGGCCTGACGGCCTTCACGCACATGCAACAGTGTCTGTAATGGAGAATCTGTAACAACCAAATTATACTCGTTAAAAAGCACGATAAACGTCTTGATGAGGTCTTCGACAGGATCATACTCCCAGGGAGGTAGTTTCCCGAGCAGGGCAGGCTTTGGCAATGGAAAAGCCTCCTCAACGCCCGTCAATGGGAATACCAAAATCGCCTCCATCGACATTTTGGAAAATAAATTCCGAACACGTATGTTGATCAGGGATCGGATCGATCAGGTGAATCCCTTCCCTCGGGATTTTGTTTGCCACAAGTATTGTTGGAGAAATCTTTCCAGCGCATCAAGCAGTTTTTAATCTTTATTTGCTCTACTCGCCATCATCAGGGTCAAAGCGGCGGATGGCATCCCGAGAGAGCACGGCAGGAAGAGAAAGCGGTTCAAATGGCTTACCCTCGCCCAGGAAGAATTTGCTATTGAACTCGATCCAGTGCAGCCTCAGGGCATGCAAAAATGCGGAAAGGCCCTCCATCGCCACTAAAATGGCGATCGTTAGCGAAAACCAACAAATGAAAACTATGACGCCAATAATGGGCCCAGAAGCGGCAAACTCCACAATCAAGTCCCAAAGCACCTCTGAAAGCTGTGCATGCGCCAACGAGAGCGCCCAAAGCCGTAGGTATGAGGCTGTATTTGAGATTGATGCGAGAGAGAACTCAATTGTGTGGATACCGGAATGTAATAGTTCATCTGCCAAGGAAAACTCCGTGTCTTCATCCTTGTGGGTATCGAGCGTGTTCTTGGGGCTACTAACATCTGAATGCTGAAGAACACTATTAGGCGAAAAATTACAAGGCGGTATGTCCTTGTTAGAAGGGCTTTTCTTTTGAGCTTTCATAGCAGCCTTTTTGGCATCAAAATGAAGGGCAAGCGGACGGTAAAGCAGCATCCAAGGGATACAAAGTAGCGCGACGATCACCAAAAGGCCCTGAACGAGCTCCTGGCCCGAATAAAACCTTCGCGTAGGATCGACATTACCCGGCGACAAGAACATGTCTACAAACATCAAAAGCAATGATGGCGATGTGGGTGTCTGTACAACCCACTTGGCCACGAAAAGAATTCCGAGATATCCAAACGTGCACGTTAAAAAGATGAACTGCGGTAAGAAAATGCCGAAAAATGAATGCCTGTCGCCACGAAAGGAATAATTGAACGCGGAGATGATCAGCCCAAAGAGCATCTGAAGGATACCAAGCAAAATTGCTTGTTTAGTCTTGTATGCATTGAAAAAAACCAGAGAATTCTGTGCAGTCACCCAGGAGGAGTCTATGCCAAAAAAGGGGACGCCAGTTTGGATGGGAACCACCAAAGGCCCGCCTGGCGATTCTTCGGTCGGCCATTCCCAGCCTGTTCCAAAGATAGCGAGACAGCGCGAAAAGCAATCGTTGTATATGAATCCGATATAAATAGACCAGACTCCCATCAGGAAGATAATGTAACGGCCTCCAAAGACATAACTCCAGATGTCACCGCCAATGAGCGGTGCTCGTTCTAATTTGCGCTCACGTAATATGAGGTACCCAGAGGCCAGTAAAACTAGAAATCCATGGCCAATATCACCAAACATCACTGCAAAAAGAAAAGGAAAAGTTACGAGAACAAAAAGCGCGGGATTGATTTCCCCATATGTTGGTGTGCCATAGGCATTAATAAGATCTTGGAAAGGGCCTGTGAATTTGTTCAAAACAAAGGACGTTGGGGGCGTCAGGGCTAACTCGCTCTCTTCACTGTGCCTGTCTAGCGGGATTGCCGCAAGTTCTGAGCAGAGGCCAGCTACGGGGGCTCCTGTGCGAGCCCGTGCGCGTTCCAGTGCAGTGTGTAATTTTCCAACCATCGAAGTAGGTGCCCAGCCCTCAGCTACTAAGCAGCCACCTGCGGCTGCCAAGGTAGCGCCTCCCAGGCGTTCATGCTCGTCCTCGCGTTGGCACATATTAAGCGAAGAAAAGAGTGCGCGTTCTTTCAACACGAAAGCACGCCACACAGGTAGCGCAGATGTGAGCCCCACAAGCATGCTTCTTTTAGTGGCAGCAGTGGATGCTAGCACACCCTCAAGCTCGCGAAGCCCGTTTGCAGCCTGGGCCGCCTCTTGGGCCCGCTGTTCAGCATCGCTGTCGCTAATGGAGACAATGATGGCGCCTTGTGAAAGCGCAAGCCTTCGCACCTTGGCCAGTGCAGCAGCGCCGTTCGCGCCAACCACAAAAAGGTCGGATCCTCTCACATCGTCCGATACATCTTCAATTCGTGCGGTTGCGTCAATCACTCTCATGAAAAGATGTCCACGCAAAGCGCGCCAAAGTATCCCTTGCAGCACAGCGCTTTTTGAGTGATCAATGATGCCTCCGACAAATCCAAGAAAATTTGGCGAATCGCTTGAAATGGCACCTATTGCGCTAGTCAGGAGGTCTGATCCTTTATGCACTGAGCTATCTACATCAATGTCAGCATGCGGCCGCTCTTCAGAAAAAAGCCGCTCAGCTTCTGTCAGCACAGCTGAACGCGAAATCAATTCGCGTTGGCGCTCGCGTAGTTCCCCCTCAGAAGACTTTAGCTGTAGAATTCGTTTTTCCAGCTCCGAAAGTTGATCATAAAGTTCCTGCAGCGAAGCTGGCAGCATGGTAATGGGGGAGAACGGATTGGCCATTGTTCCAGGCAACCCCGCTGATCGTCGCGATGCCGTTTTGGCATCTTCGCCGTTAATGACGGACGAAGCTGCTGCTGCTGCTTCTTTTAGCGAGATTTCGGAGATCTGCCAAAGCCCCATCGATTCTGCTTCTTTGGCGAGAAGTGTTAAACGTCGCTCGCAGTCGTCTAGTTGTTGCATTTCGCCGGCATACAATAGCATGTTAAGAGGTTTATCTTCATTTAGATTTCGAAACTGAAAGCATGAGATGGATCCAATTGCTGCGATGGATTCTTTGGCTATATCTACGGGCAGATAAAGCTGCACCAGTGACATGCGCTGAGCACGGAGTAGTGAGTCACCGCCAGTGGCAGGCTCTTTTTGGATTTTTTCCGGAAGCATTTTTGGGATTTCCAGAATTGTCTGTAGGTTGGATTGGTCTATATCAGAAGAGTCGGGGCGGTCCCCTTCATAGGCTGTCGACGCAAACATGGTAGCAGAATGGACCCAATGAATTCCGAAAATTTAATGCCAAGCGCACCAATCGCCACCAATTTGTAAATTAAAACAATTATTTGAAGTTGAATTAAAAGACAAAATTTTAATGAAAATTGCTTGTCGGCACTGGTGTTGAGATTGCAATCGAGTATAGTTTCGATGGGGTTCAGTGAGCCCGAGGGTTTAACCCCAACCCTAATGGGCTTGTAAAATTCCTCTTCCGGAATCAGCCTGATGCTGCTCTAGCCACCACCGCCGCAAGAACGCTGGGGAGCGATGCGGTAACATCTCTGCCGCAATCACATCAAACTCGAGGCCATGCTTTTGGACACCCTACCATAAATGAGCCAAGTTACATGCAATAATATGCGGCGTTCATCTGTGGAGAGGGGCAGAAACTGCCGAAAATAAAAGTCCTTTACAGGATTCGGTGGCGTTGTCCGAGAAATAAGATTTTTGTATCTAGTAGCGAGCTGCTTGGGTAGCTTGGTTGGCACTAGCTCAGCATGGATCCTTACCCAGCTTGTTGTGCCATATTTACAAAGGCCTCGGAGCAGTAGCCGATCCTCCGCATCAAGAAAGCGAATCCGCTCGGTGACATCTAAAGTCAAAATCGACACTTACCTGATTTAAAAGGAAGGCACTTCCATTGTTCCAGCAAAGTTGGTCCCAGTAGTGTGAAAAGCACCTGCATCATTGAAGGAAGGTCCCGCGGTCCTTCCCGCAGTGTGGGGTTACAGCTGGAGTTTATTGGCGGAGAAATTGCCACCAACCCAAGTTTATCAAGTGTCGGTCGTAGCATTGCAAGCCGCTCTAGCCCTGGTACCATGAAAACAGAAGCCAAGCTAGGCCCTGGAAACCGGGAGCCATAATGTGTAGGAGCTTCAAACCCCCCAGAAAGCTCTTGTATGGCTGTAGCGCCCAACATATTGGGCAAATGAGAAGGGGGGGCCGCATCAGGTAGTAGCAATCGTCCGAGCATCGTCAGTGAACGCTCACCTTCCATCCGTAACTCGGCAAGCATTGAATAGACAATTTTAGCCATAGAGGCCGCCTCTTCGCATCCAGAAGCAAGCGTTGCACACAGAACAAACTGCTGAAAAAGAAGCTGGACATGGATTTGGATTAGCAGAGTGACCCTAGTAAGGAGCTTTTCAGGTGTGGAAGCTTGCTTTGCAGTTCCCCCTTCTACCGCTGGCACGGCAAAACCTTGATCTGAAGGTTGGAACTCCAATTTCTGGAACGGTGAATTTATCGAGTCTGCCGAAATGATTTGGTGGCAATCCGCAATAAGCCCATTGAGCTCTCGTTCTTTAATGCGATACCCCACCTGGCCACAGGAAGAGGGTGCTCGTTTGATGTGGACGAGGTCAGAAGCGGCTACTTCAAAAACCTCATCATCTTCATCATCTTCTGCTGTCTCATCTTTATCTGAAGTTGGTGAAAGAGTGTCGCTGATAAATTTTCGATACTCTGCATCAACAGGATCCTCTTCCTGCTCGTATGGAACGGATCCAACAGGAAGCAAATTTTTGCAAAGTTTTTCCATCGACACAAAATTGGGGTCATTTGCAGTATAAAACTGCGTAAGCAAAGAATGTGAACGTGGGCGCGCCGAGGGATTGTTATTGACCTCTGCAAACGGCGATCGTGGAGTCGTATTCACTGGCGGGGGAGATCCGATTCCAACTGGATCAATATTTTCCTTCATCAAAAGAACGCCCTCATCGGCGCGGCCAACAGTCAACCTACTTGGTTCCTTTGTACGCTTGATCTCGGCATCATCCTCCAAGACTGGCTTTGCATTGAGAAAATCCAACCGTCGCTTGGAGCTGGGTGTGCGGAATATCCCAAGCTTTTCTTCTTCTTCACGCTTTGAAGACATGATTCGTCCCGCTTTTATGGAGAAAGAAAGTGTACCAATGCTACTGGGAGGTGAACTGAACGCCATTCTGGAAATCGTTCGGAACGAGGAGGATGGGGTTGATGGTGTCTGATCAGCAGCAAGACGCTGATTTACGATCGGGGAGCTATTGATGCCTTTTTCCTCCAAAAAGGAAAGAAGCTGATCTGAACTGCTTACCGCCGAGGTGAGGACAGAGTCCAAGATAGCATCCGACGCGCTAAACGGCTGCCAGCACCCGGTCGCCGAGCTTGATGAATGGTTGATGGCTTCGACATTGTTTAGTGCTTTTTGGGTATCTACAGGACCACTAGATGTGGAGAGAGGCTTGCTATCGGCACCCTCCAAAAAATTAGGATCTTCCAGCTTATCGAGGCCAAATTGCCGAGCAAATTCTTCGACATCTTCTGAAAAGTCTTCTGGTGGTGTATTATTGACGGCCGAATTTGCATTGGCTTTCAAAAATGTCTCCTCCTTGGAGGGTTTCCCTTTGAAATCGGCCCCAATTTTGTGAAGTTGTTCTAGAGGCCACGCTGGCAGTCCAAATCCGTTTATGCTTTCGACAATCAAGCGCTCCACATCTGAAGAGTCAAAGAGCGTCGAGATTAGATCACCGGCACCTCCCCTATCGTCGAGCATTGAGGGAGAAAATAAAAATTTGAAAGTGTAATGCACACAACTGCAATCAGATGTGTTGTTTGGCGCCCTGTGGGGAATTACATTCGGACTTTAATTTAAAAAGAACCCCATTAGAATTTTAATTTACAACGAACTCCATTCGGATTTTAATTTAACGTAAAAGTACAAATGTCATCTTTTCCCGCCTAAAATTTATTTGAGATTGCCAGTAATGTCGCTTGATCTCGGACCACTCCAAACCGCAGGGGCAATCTCAGGATGCTCTATCCTCGGAGATGGATCAACAATAATGTGTTCCATTAATGTTTCCTTTGACGAGCACTCATTGCGCGAAAATGCACGAATAAAACTTTCTCAATCAAGCACACATCTACTCGCTAGTAGAGCTAATGATCGCACTGTCCTGCCATCGGCAGATACTCAGTCAATTTATGGTCCAATTCTAAGAACGGACCAGTGGTGCTGTTCCCACTCATACTCGCCTTCGCGCAAATATCTGGTCTCCTTTTTCGAGGCTACCAACAGAGTACAACTTGAGGAGACCAAACCCACCCGCTGGATGCGAGTATCACGCTGCGATGCTACGGGAACGCCCATAACGATCGAAGTAGACCACGGCCCCTTTTACTTTCAAAGTAAGCTATGCGTTGAACTTTCCTGCAGACCCCTTTTCACCTGCACCATCATGGTCTTTCGACGAAAATTGTTTCCTTTACGTTGCAGAGGGCGTAGAATTTTTTAAAGACAATCAGGGGACGGATCATTTGGATGAGTACTGTCTGGAAAAGGGTCAGCCTGATCAGGGCTGCGAAGATCCAATTGTTGGTCGACATCGCTACCGGCCAGATTTTGGTGAACGATTCGTGGGCCGCAGACGTCCATGTCTATTTGTCGCAGATATTTCTACAGGACTCGTTACTGATATCATGCTTCCAGATAAATGTGGTTATGTGGTTGAGGTTGTTCGCTTCCCTTACTTTAGGCTATTTGGGTGGAACACGTTGGTAGACAGCTGATTTTGGCGAATATGCTGGCCCCAGCTCCTATTATGCTCGGTCTTGCCTATTGCAATAACCGAGAGAGCAATCTTTTTCTACTAGATCCGGGGTTTCCAAAACAAAATGAAGATTGTAGTCCTAAATTGCACATCACGGCCCGTAATGGCCAAGCTCCTAGCTCTAAAATTGATCGCCGCTCACCCGCCATTGTCGCCCAAATAGTCGAAAAGGGAATTAATTTCACAGCGCTTGTTACCGCTGGAAAGGGAGGATTTTTTCTGCTACAGTCAAGATTTATTGATGCGCACTACAGTGCTCAATCGCTTATTGTTGGAAGTGTAATAACTGCCCTTTATTATTGACGATAGATTCGAAATGGAGAGGATACCCCCTCAATTACGCTTTTTCCTTTTGCACCTGATATGAATTTCGCAGATCTCAATTTGCAGACCTTGTTTCACGCAAGGCCACTCTTTAATTATACGATTGGCGGTATGATTATATTGGGTTGTCATGTTGCCTTCCAGAAGGTAGGAAAGTTCATTTACAGGATAGATTTCCGTTCTCATTGACACGCAACGACGTATAGTTTTTCCTATTGTTTCACCATATAACGGGCCCCTTTCTTCATTTAACGTATTGGATGCTATTCTTCTTGAGGGCTCTCGATCAGTGATGATTGGCATTGGACAATGCTCTTCTTTCGGCATGCCACCTCATATGGTTGCTTTTGAGGTCCCAAGCCGTCCAGACGTTACAGTCCAAAGTCATGTCTTGACCCTTGATCATGATACTGATCGCAAGAGCATATCTTCATTCCTGCCCCAACGTATTTGGAAGCTTTCTCCTTGCACTTTATCTGAGAAATGGCGTTGCAGGCGCTTCGACCTTGGCCATCAATTCCAAGCGGCTTTTCCAGAGTATATCAGTGCACCAATTGTGCTCGATGTTCTTCTTGTCGACAAAGACATAGCGTTGCAGACAGGCTTGGAAGCCAAGTATTTAGAGACAGGCCTCAATACAAAGGAAAATATCAGCTCAAATTCGCCACTCATAGTGATAGCACACGGCGGCCCGCATTCCGCGTATGCATCTGAATGGAGCCGTACTTATGATCATCTTCTTAGTGAAGGATATATGCTTCTTTTTGGTTTGGCTTGTTGATTGATAATTCATAGTCAATTATACGGGCTCCTCTAGTTACGACATGGCCTCGCTCTCCTTTCTGCTTGGCCGAATTGGCGAGCTTGATGTGCAACAGGTCAAAGTTTGTATACCTTCCCATGATTGACAAGTGTAGTTTGTGGCCGAGTGGGCATTAACCGAATTTCCCATCGATCCGAAACGCCTTTTTTACATGGGCGGGTCCCACGGCGGATATATTGGCGCCTGGCTTGCTACTGGCTGCACTTCCAAATACCCGTCTGAGGAGCCAAGAAAATTAAAGTCGCAAAGCGAGTCACCCGGAGATCGATGCCCCTTTGCAGGGCTGATCTTGATCAATCCGGTGACAGACCTTACGCTTTTGCTTTGCAACTCGGACATTCCAGAGTGGGCCACCAACGAGGCAGGTTTGCCTCTTGCAGGAGATTTTTCTAAGCTGACCACGGCCAAGCAATACGATGAACTTTGGGTTCGTTCACCCATTAGAGCAGCGCCAATGGCTCGTCGCCGGCTTTTGATATTGGTTGGCTTGGAGGATCGCCGCGTTCCGCCATTGAATGGCATTCGCTTTTCGCAGTCCATCTCTGGGATCGCACCCAAACTTCTCTGCTTTCCCGGCGAAGGTCATGCGCTAGACGGAGTGCGTGCTCAACATGCACTGGTCGTTGCCATCACCCGCTTCCTCCATGGTATCAATTTCCAACCTGCTACTTCGAACAATGATCTTAATTAAAGCTCCATTGGGACCACATATTCCCCAATAGGTCTCTGTTAGCTAGCCTGACGATGACGTCGCATGGTAGCATCAAAAAATGTACTCATCATAATGGAGCACCAATGGTTGCGGTCAAGATTGCCCGTGTTAATATGAAAATAGCTCTGGTTCAAGTTTATATTAGTGATTAGGCAGCTTCTGAAATCTGCAGACGGGCATAGCCATTGGTCAGCTTGACGTTCAGCTCACGTGCACGATTAACAATCGCAAGTCTTTTTTGTGCGCAAACATTGTGAGCAACTTCGGCAGCATAGGTGCTGTTGTGCATCATCAACAGCTCTAGCTCCTTTACGTTCCGGATAACGAATCGACGGAGACCATTTGGCATCAAAAATTTGGTGAGCTTGTTAGAGCCAAAACCAATTTTTGGCATCTGGATCTGTCCAGAAAAACGACGGCGCACGCGATTATCAATACCCTTTGGGCGTCTCCATGAAGGCTTGACTGATGTAAAGCGATCTGACTGATGGCGGATAAACTTCTTTGTGCGCTTCTTTATGATCGGGATCTTGGCGGCCATCTACAATGAGATATCAAATTATAAATTGATAGAGCAAAGAGCTAAAATAATTGCGAGCCAGTGATATACGACAATAGGATATAAAGACATCTAAAATGTCCATATTCCTATGGACCATGCATGACCGCAGATTATCCGAAACGATGGATGAAAACAGACATAAAGAACGCTACCTACCTTGATCGATTAATAAAAATATCCGTTGCAGATGGATTTGTAAATTTAAATTTTATTTTAAATATTTAGGCTCGATGGAGGCTCCCTCTGTGATACTGCCACCTCTGCCGCTTCGAGGTACCGAATCGTAGTGTTTATCCACTAGGCATTATTGATAAAACTGCACTCTTTGTGGCGAGAAACGGACTTTCGTTTGAAACCAGAATTGTCGAAAATGAGCGAGGGAATCCAAAGTTTTCTTTTCTGCAGATAACGGATCCATATCGCCCATACTACGATGCAAAGGTGGTTGAGCTGCGGACACAGTCGCTCACCGGGTCTGTTCAACAGCCTCGAGAAATGGAGCGCAATTCACCAACTGATTCATTACCGACAATCGCACCGACAATTCCCAGGAAGACCCTCTCGTCAACGCCGACCATCCCTCCACCTCGTTCGCTTGACTTTGCCAAGCTTTACTACTCAACAAAGGGGATGGAAGGGACCGAAGAAATTCTGCAGCCACCACCGATGAGCATTCTTATGCGCCAGATTATCTCTCTTACTGCGCTATTCGCCGCGCGAAATGGCCGAGCCTTCGTTGGGATGGTTGCCGAGCGCGAGGCTACAAATCCACAATTTGAGTTCCTAAAAAACACTTCGATTCTCTATCCTTTTTTTGCAAGACTAGTAGAGGCATATACCAGGTGCATGGCACCATCTGCAGCATTAATATTACGGCTGTCTGAAATGAGCTTCCAAGCGGTAAGATTTTTTGTCTCACCCGTAGATTCTAGCTAACTCCCAACAACGAGTTGTGTATAAATCGACAGCGGCAGACCGCGAAGCAGCAATCGAGGCAGAGGCCAAGCGCGACCGAGCTCTTTTTCTTGAAACGGATTGGAGTGACTTTTGTGTCGTCGAGCGGATTGTACTTCCGGAGCGATGGGCAGATGCCCCAGAGACGGCTGCATATGCTGCACCGCTTGCTATGAATCTTGACCACTTTTGTGGACTGCCCCTAATTCAGCAACGGCAGCTGATCACCAATCTGCTGCTCTCTGTTGGGTCGACGCCTCAACAAACGATACGATCTGTGACCCGTGAAGAGACTACAGAAATGTCAATATCTTCTTCCTCCTCAGAAGAGGAAGAACCCAAGATTGACATTGCCTTAAAAGAGGATGATGCAGAGATGGCCATCTCATCTGGAGACGAAGAAATTGAGCATGAATATCTCCCACGAGCCATGGCTTTAAAGAACCTTTCTGCGGCGGCATCTACGTCTCAAATTTGTCCTCGATGCAAGCAGCGTATACCGATCTCTGAAATGGCTGAGCACGTCCGTCTTGAGCTACTTGATCCAAAATGGCGTGAGCAGGTTGAGAAGCATCTGAAACGCAGTTCAGAAACGAACCTCGTTGATTCCAGCTCGCTATCCCAGAACCTTCAACGGTTAGTGCGCGAGCGCCCAGATCTGTGAATCTATAGGCCAACTAATTTACTCCAAAAAGTTGCGCACAATAAATTTATGAGCAGGATGGCTCTTGCTCCCTTCCAGCAATTGATTTGAGCCGCTCAATGTTCAACGGATGCTCTTCTTTTTGCACTAGTGCACCGGTGTTATCTTTTAGCACCCTATATGGCATGGGTTTGTATTGGCCTTGTTGAAGGAAGAGCCCATTCCAGGATGGGAATTTGATTGATTGAAGACCGACCAATCATATCGGTCGGGATGCAGATTAACATCAATGGCAATTTGTGAATTCTTTATCTTTCCATGAAGGAATTTATATTTGGTGCCATTATCGGTGCATGTGGAGGTGTCTTCGCCATGAAAAACGAGCAGGTAAACGTGTGTGATGTGATGGTGTTAGATCAAGTCTTATATGGATGGCATGTGCAATAAATTTTGCCCGAAAAAGGAGCCATCATCGCTACTTGGCGAAATAAAAGACAAAGCAAAGGAACAAATGAATAAAAAATAGCCTGGAAACCGGCATTTGTTATGAAAGAGGCCGCTACTCTTGATATGCATTGTGATTTGGACCTCTGGATCGCATATCGGCGTGGATGGCAATTTTAATTTAATTTTTTAAATCTCATGGAAATCGGGTCATCTGTACTTGATCTCGATCACCTACAAACAGTGTATGTCACAGGACTTGCGGAGGGCACAGATGAGTCTCTGCTGCATGCTGCTTTTATCCCATATGGTGAAATATCGGATATCATCCTTCCTCCGCTTCCCGGCGGATCCGGTGCCCCAAAATTCGCACTCGTACAATATGAGTGTAAAGAGGATGCGCTTGCAGCCATTGACAATATGCATAGAAGTGAGATCAATGGAAGACCCATTCGCGCTTCCATTGCAAACCCCGCAATGTTGCGGCAAATCGCCTCCAATATGAGTACCGCCTCGGCTGCAAAACCCGTTTGGGAAGATGCTGCCTGGCTCCATACGCATGGGACACAATCATCGGTGCAAAAGTAAACTTGGATCTATGAATATGTCTCGTTTAGCCGATACATGATGGCTGCACTTGGTCAGCAAATAAAGATGTCTCAGTTTGTGAAAATCCAGAGGCACTGATTTTTGCCTCTTTTGGATCAAAACATAAAGTGGCCAATTAATTAAAATGTAAAATTTATGCCCCCAATCGGTGACGCTGCTAGACAAGTGCTACTGCAATATTCGCTTCCCATACTGCAGGAGAGTGTTCAAAAGAAATTCGAGCTGGCAATGAGCGGTCTCGTATCGATTGAAAGTGATCTTGGGATGGTCGTAATCTCCATCCGCTCCTCATTTGAGGAGGTCACCATACTGATGCGGGAGATCAGCAAAATTGGTAAAATGCTGAAGTTTGACTCTGTTGTGCTTCTGGAGTACGAAAAAAAGATCCCAAAGTCAATTTTAAACCAAGCCCTTTCAATAGCATGCGCCATAATTGCAAGGGTGAAGGTCGAGACCAAAACAAGCGTTCTCAAAATCAGATTACTAGCCCAGATACTTTCCTCCCTTGACCACCTACATTCCGAGCTGTGGGGAGAGCCTGGGCTCGTTCTTTTTCAACGCGTGGATTTCTCCTCTGACTTTGACAATTGTTTTAAGGAGCTGATATTGGAAATCGTAACGATGCTCCAGCAGGCCACGTGTGAAATTCTTATGCAAAGCCAGCAAGCAGACCCCACAGCAGCCTTCGAAAAACACGGTGCAGTTTCTAAAAAAATGACCATAGCATGCGCGGTCATTCCCGGATTGGAAATGATATCGGGCGAAGCGCTCCTTTACGATGTCCAAGCAACCTTTGCCATGCTTGCCCAGTTGCAGCTGAAGGAGCCCTGGAACCAGTAAGCAATTTGATTATTTTTAGGGTTTTACTGAAAGCAGCACATGATACCATATGCAACATGGGGGCCTCTTTAACTGAAACCCAAATGCAGGCCATCCAAAGTTATCTCCCAGCGCAAAGTAAATAATTTTTTGAAAAATTGCAAAACTTTGAAAATTTCCAATCCCTCCCATTGGTCTACATGTGTTCAAATAAAGTCGGAGTTGTCAACGTGCCACCTACACGTGGGTCATTATCAGAAATAAACAATGCTCAGAAATGTGCAGATCATTTGCCTGATACTTTCAATTTTCCTATGTTTTCAAATTTGCATTTGCACTCTGAAATTCAAACTATGCAAGACTTCCCGCGAAGGAGGCACTGATAAGTACCAATGTCTGGCAATTATAGGCATACTGCACTACAATCAAAATCCTCTTTCATGGCGTGAAATAGACGATCGGAAAACGATCTTGTGGGTCGATGGTATCATCTCTCCACTGAAACGTCAAGGCATCTTTCACTCGACCCTTAGTGCTGTTGGTCTTGTCGATAAAGCTTACCAAATGCCTTGCGGAGGAAGACTCTCTGTACTTAAAGAAAAATTTGATGTGAAGAGCCCACCATCAACGCCATCTGATAGTTACGCTCCACTGTTCCCCAATACCTTGTACGATGATGAACCTGGCCAATATAATATGAGCAGTGGAGATCGTGTCTCATTCTACTGCCCACCTTTAGGTACTTATTCAGCTGGCTTTGGCCTTAACGAGTATTTTTATATGGTTGGAGATGTCTCAAAATTGTACATAACCGAGACGCTATGTCTCTCCGATTCGGATAAATTTCACATTGTAAGCTGCGAATCTCCCGAAGCCGTCACCTGCGAACGCCAACCTGTCTATGAATATGAATAAAACTCGCGAAAATCCCCAATCGTCGGCTAATGAAAAATAAAACTGGCGACAATCCCACCCATACGCTGATGGACAATAAAACATGGGTTTTGTAATAAATACGAGGTGAATTTACTGTAACTTTATCTTCCCCAAGTTCTACAATTGAGATTTCCTTGGTGTGATTTCTTTCGCCAATTAAATGGCGGGGGCAGCCTCTGGAGCGTCTTCTGGGGCCGTCTTCAATATATGCTCGAAGCCGGCCTCCTTTAGCATTATGCGTGCCTCGCCATAAGATGCACATTCGACCCAAGCAAGACGCTGGAAGCTCGGCTTCGCCGCTGTACCTTGCCAGAAGAGCCGTGCAGAAACTTCTGTCTCTTCCTCTCCAGGCTTTCCCGGCTGCCATTTCATCCGCACAGTCAACAACTTTCTGTAATGGGTGATTGCGCGAAGGGAACCCTCCACCACTATCAAGCCTCTGTCAGGTAGCCGTAGTAATAGGCCATGGAGCTGCATCTGCCCCCCATTGGCAATGAGCTTAAACCGCTCTTTTGAACCCAGAGGTGGCGTCTGGAACGCAGCAATATGGACCAGTGGTGAGCCAGCGGAAAGGGTACCACCGCCAAGCTGCCGCCAATATTCAATTTTTTTGATGCGCCGCTGCTCGTCTGTGAGTGCTCGTTCTGCATTCGCTTGCTCATGCTTTGCTGTGCGCTCGCGGATTTGTCGGCGCACAAGGGCCTCAGCACGCGTGGGCTCCTCCAGCGCGATAGGCCCAAGGACCTTCATAAAATTCGACATTTTCACTACATGTCATGATGCTAACCAATTACATTTAGACTCTTCTGGCGGTAACAGCCCAAGCCTGATCTGTTCACGCTTCTCTTTCTGTGCCTCGAGGCGGCGATGTCGACGGAGCTTCCTCTGTTCTATTCGTGTAAGCATCATGGGCTTCACGATAGGAATGGGTTGTGGCGCGCCTGCTGGCATAGGTGGAAGATGGAATACTTTGCTGCTAATCAGAAAATTGCTGTCGGAAGCAACAAAAGGCTCATCCCACCATTCTACGTCTGGAGTAGCCTCCCTGGCCATTGCCAGAATGGCATCCGAAAGCACCTGGTCATCTCCAAGCCGCTGCTCGATAGAGCGCGACAGGGATGCTAGCTTGGCCGCTTTTCTATCTGCCTCAGCTTCGCTAGCGAAGCGACCGGGTTCATTGAATTGCAGCTTGCGGTGAGTTTTTCTCTGACCAGATGGTCGCATTCCCTCAGATAAATATGGGTTCTCTCGTGACATCAACAATACAGATGGAGATGATTTTGGGGTCGAGGAGGATGATGAGAAATGTCTGGGGCCACGGCCCCCTTCATGCTGATTGATCTTCGTGGAAGGAAAGAGCGGCCGAGGAAGCACTGCTGAACGGTCCATCATCCTGGAGGCGTCGGGTTGCGTTTCGGCTTCCCTGGGGCGTTTTTTCGATGTCGACATAAAATTTAATACGAAATCCAACCCTTGGAAGCCACTTGTTTGAGGCCTCCATACCACAATTCCAGGTGGTCCGACTTTTTAAATATAAGGCCCGAGTTTTTGGTCTCAATGAACCCTGTTCACTATTATTTTGGCCGGCTGAAAGGCCCTTAGTTTATTTGTTGGATTTAGATGTCGTCAATGTCGTCCTCCTCAAACTCAAAGACGCATTCGTCGTCACCACCAGGACCTTGCATGTCGTTTTCGTTGATCTTGGCCCCTTCTGGAATCTCTTTAATCTGCTTCAAAACTCGTGCTTCGTCCGGAGTATACTTGAGCAATACGTCGCACTTGTCCTCTTGAAAATCTCGCAACGAAATCAGCACAATGTCTCCTTGGTTTATCCATACCTACGCAGTAATAACAATGGCATATACTTTCTTGCGCAGCTTTCCGCGTATATGCGCTAGCCTTGTCTGACCATCAAAACAGTACACCTCGAGGCGTCCAGACCCAAGCATACGAGTGACCTGGCCATAGACTGATAATTTTAGACTAATTGCGTACCTTGGCCCTCGCTTTTGTATATCAGCTCGCGCTTTGAGCTCTCGTTTTCGTTTTTTCCTCGCCTGCGATTTTTTCCTCCCTTTCCTAAACGAGTAGTGAGATGCCGTTTTTTGGGAAGTACCCTTGTTCTTGGGCATGGCAATAAAATTTAAAAAGAATTAAAACTTGCTGTAGGGTTAGTGTTTGTACGTTATTTAATTTGGCCATCCCAATTTTATACGAGGTCGACCGATGCACGACGAAGATGAGGCAAGTTATTTCGTGAATGAAGAGCGCTATGAAGAAGAGTGTGCTTCAAGTACATTTGACAAGGGTATGTTCGTGTAAAAGCTTATTTCAGCATCATCGTTAATCATCAGCTCGGTATCTTCTAGAAATCTTCTTCCCAGTACATTGTTAAATTGTACCTCTCGGCCCCAAGTTGAGCTTGAAAAACTGGGACGAATTCGTAAGCTTGAAACTTTTCTTTATTTAAAGGATTTATGCACATTGAGATTGATTTTATCATGGACTCCCCATTGGAAGAGGTTGCTTCTGGGTTTCCAGGAATCGGACTAGTGCCTATTTTCCGATTGTTTGGCGTAACGGAAAAAGAACAAAGTGTGCTCTGCCACCTGCATGGATTTCTTCCCTATTTCTATGTTCGGACGCCGTCGGAAAACTTTTTGCCCAGCCATTGCCAGCTTTTTCAGGAAGCCTTGGAGGTTTGATTCTCAAATAACTAGGCCGTTAGCGGGCATTTAAGGAACAAAATCAAAAGAGTTACTCAAAGACCGTAGTTGACGTACGGCTTGTGAAAAAGAAATCAATTTATGGGTACACCGACGTGGAGCCATGTTCCTTTTTGCGCATTTCAGTTACCTCGCCCACTGCAATCAATACGGCAAAGAAAATCCTGGAAAGCGGATTTGTGTATTCCAGCGGTGAAAAGGTTGCATATCAGACTTTTGAGAGCAATATTCCTTTTTTGCTGAGATTTATGATCGATTGCAAGGTAAATGGTCTTGTATGTGGTAACCATTAGCTGACGGGAATGAATTGGATTGAGATCGACCAAAAAAATTATATTGTTCGTACTCAAAAGGAGCACCTGACTTCATTATGTCAAATTGAAATAGATACTACATTTGACAAGATCATTAGCTTTACACCGGATGGTATACATGCAACTGTACCGCCTTTGCGCATTCTCTCTTTTGACATTGAGTGTGCCGGAAGAAAGGGCATCTTTCCTGAGCCCCATATCGATGCTGTCATTCAAATTGGAAATGTCTTCAGCGTCCATGGAGAGGGGATGCCTAGAGTTAGCGTTATTTTCACTTTGAACACCTGCAGCCAGATTGCAGGAGCAGAGGTCCTCTCATTTGCTAATGAGGCGGATATGCTCGCTGCTTGGTCGCAGTTCGTTAGGACGCTCGATCCAGATATCATCACCGGGTATAACATCAACAACTTTGACTTGAATTATTTGCTGGATCGCGCCCATACGCTGCGCGAAACCTCTTTCCCCTTTCTTGGCCGCATTCCGGCCTTGCGGACAAAATCAAGGGATTCCATCTTTTCCAGCAAAGCATATGGAACCAGAGAGTCTAAAGAAATTTCTATTGATGGACGTGTCATTTTGGATATGATCCAAGTCATCCAAAGAGATTATAAGCTTCGTTCATATTCGCTCAATTCGGTTTGTGCCCATTTTTTGGGCGAGCAAAAAGAAGATGTCCATCACTCCATAATCACAGACCTTCAAAATGGAAATTCCGAAACGAGGAGGCGTTTGGCTGTGTATTGCCTAAAGGTTTGCCGTCTTGATCTCATTTCAGGATGCTTTACTGCCGCAGCGGCTGATTGATCGACTGATGTCGCTGGTAAACTACATTGAAATGGCTCGAGTTACTGGGATCCCATTTAACTTTATCCTCCAGCGAGGGCAGCAAATTCGGGTTATTTCGCAGCTATATCGCAAGGCATCTGAAGAAGGCTATGTGGTTCCTGCTCTCAGGACAGAAGGTTTGCATCAAAACTTATAAGCAGGGTCTGACGAGCAATATGAAGGTGCTACCGTGATAGAGCCAATTAAGGGCTATTATGATATTCCCATTGCTACACTTGACTTTGCATCCCTGTACCCATCCATTATGATGGCCCACAATTTATGCTATACGACTCTTCTGGATGCCTCTTCAATTACGAAGCTCAATCTGTCTCCGTCCGATTACATTCGCACACCTTCGGGAGACTACTTTGTCGCCAGTCATGTTAGAAAAGGGCTTCTTCCCCAAATTTTAGAAGATCTTCTTGAGGCGCGGAAAAGGGCAAAAAACGATTTGAAAAGCGAGAATGATCGATTCCGCAAGGCAGTGCTTGATGGGCGTCAATTGGCATTGAAAATTAGCGCTAATTCTGTATATGGATTCACTGGTGCAACCGTTGGCAAGCTTCCGTGCATTCAAATATCCCAGTCTACCACTTCGTTTGGCAGACAAATGATTGACCTGACAAAGGAGGTAAAAACGCATAACGCCCATTTTTTGTAGATGGTTGAAAAGGCATATACCATCGAGAATGGATATGATGCGAACGCCAAGGTGATTTATGGAGACACAGACTCTGTCATGATCAATTTTGGCGCTCCAGATCTCGCAAAGACCATGGAGTTAGGTAAGCTTGGATCCCTTTTATTTCTGCAAGGTCGCCATGCTGCAAACTTTGTTTCCTCTTCGTTCAAATATCCAATTAGATTGGAGTTTGAAAAGGCATATTTTCCATATCTTTTGATCAACAAAAAACGATATGCTGGGCTTTATTGGTCCAATCCCCACTCTTATGACAAAATTGATGCCAAGGGAATCGAGACCGTCAGAAGGGACAATTGCCCACTTGTTCAAACACTGATCCAGACTTGCCTTAATAAGATTCTGATCGATAGAGATGTTGAAGGCGCTAAGCAATATGCAAAGCAAGTGATTTCAGATCTTTTGCAAAACAAAATCGATATTTCTCTGTTGGTGATCACAAAGGCTTTGACAAAATCGGGGGAAAGCTATGCCGGCAAACAAGCCCATGTCGAGCTTGCCGAAAAAATGAGAAAGCGAGATGCAGGCTCGGCCCCATCTTTGGGGGATCGTGTTGCCTATGTCATCACCAAATCCACAAAAGGTTTTCGCATTATTTGTCTCTACCCTTAAGGTGCCGCTGCCTATGAGAAATCGGAAGATCCCCTCTATGTGCTTGAGCATAACATTCCAATCGACACAAAATACTATCTTGAGAATCAGCTTTCTAAGCCATTGCTTAGAATATTCGAGCCCGTCATTAAGCATGCAGATGAGCTTCTTGGTATAGTTTTTCTCTCATTTTGGCATAGCCGGAGACCATACAAGAACCATTCATGTAGCGGTCCCCACACTTGGCGCATTGAGGAAATTTGCTGTCAAGACCGAGTCTTGTCTTGGATGCAAGGCCCCGCTTGCGAAAGAAGGTTGTGTCGATGTTTGCACTTATTTGTAGAAAAGTTGGTTTGCAAGTTCTGCCGTCCAGAACTGCCAAAGTTTTATTTGAAACATGTAGACATGCTTAAGCAGACCGAGATTAAATTTAACCGGCTCTGGACCCAATGCCAACGCTGCCAGGGCTCGTTGCATCAAGACGTTCTTTGCACTTCAAAGGACTGTCCCATCTTTTACATGCGGAAAAAGGCTCAAAAAGAGGTCAAGGAGGTTTCGGACTTGATGGAGAAATTCGAGTTTGATTGGTAGATGATAAGCTAAATTTATAAGTAAATCTATGGGACCAAAGCCCTTCTCTCTCATCCTGCATGTGAAAATGAGATCGGGTTCGATCGCATTGAATTGAGCTAAATTGGATTGGCGCTAAATTTATGGGGCTCAACTCGGCCATCAGCATTAATAGGTTACGGTAATTTATTTTGCATTCGCTGTGGACGCCCAAATTAAACTTGCTTATCCCGATTCACAAATTTCACACTAGGCTCTGGCTCTGGATCGCGATGCGGGTTGGTGAATTCTTCATCGAGGAACTCTTCTCCCAATTTCCCCCAGTTGGCCTTTCCACCGCCGTCTTTCTTAACAGCATCCTTAGCCAGAACGCCATTTCTAAATTCTTAACCATCACATGCCCTACCTTGGAAGATGTCGATCCCGAGTAACGGTGGCAGGCATCGAATGATGATGAGTGTCAGGCTTTGTCATTGTAATTATTCACGACCAAGCATTCGGTTTTTATCATCGTCGTGACCAATCACCACAATAGTTGATTTTAAATAGATCAATTGGTGGTCATTTGCCTCAAATGCCAATTAGATGCTCGCAGTTTATAGTTTAGTTGCAATTGCTATTGGTCAATGCCCAGTTTGGAATTGACCAAATGCAGAACTTTTATTGGCTGGTCAAAAATCCCAAATTAATTAAAATCGAGGGATCAATTGAATCAGATTAAATTGGAAAATATCAATTGGCTTTTGAATGAACATCGATATCCAATGCGATGCGACCGTGAGAGAGCAAATCAAAACCCGGTGGATATATCTTACCGAACAAGAGTGGTCAACCCCGCCTCTTCAAACTTTCCTGCAGCAAGATGATGGCTGTGTAAAAAGTAACACATCAAGATTGCATTCCCAAACTGCATATTCAAAAAACGCATCCATCTCGTATTGCACGCCTGGCTTGCAAGCAAGTGGAGAACGCCTGATTTCAATTTTTTTGCAAAAATATCCAAAGAGTCTATTTGACCTCCAAGGGGTTATCTGTGCCCCCTCGCCGATGATCGCGCTTTCCGATATCTTTCGAAATAGCGATGGAACTGCTGAAATTACACTAATGGAGGAACAGACTCTCTCTATCGCGGGAAGTCTATTCAACGCATCGGCGATGGACACTCTTCTTGGTCTTCTCGCTGGTGGTTGGAGGGGTGCTCCTCCGTTCCACATTTCATCGACTCAATTTTCCGGACTTGAACTTTCAATTGTATAATTTTCGTGATTTTGTGTAGAATTTCAGGGTCAAGTTTGTTGTTTTGGAGAGCAGCGCTATCCCATTGGTAGATTCGATCGCCATCCGATGGGACTCTGCTGAGTTTGTGCGCAAGTTGGGCATTTGTGCATGGATCGACGAAATGCGACCAACGCCTGCGCTCAAGAATTTCGTGTTGCAGCTCCCATTTTGGCATGTAGCGCCGCCGTCGTTGCAGACCGTAAGGTCTGCACCCAACTACAAACCAGTTGGTGGTGATACCCATATCAGCTTTGATGAGTCGCAGCATCACTCACCCACACCAGCAAGTGTTGCCACTTTATTTAAGGCAGTGGGTGGCATACAGACGCTCTCGCTTTCAGACGAGCCACCGCTCCACGAAGTATCGCCACCGTACAAGGCGGAGGTACCTTGGGCGCGACCGTCATCCCCGGAGCCCTCATCAGGGCATGCCAATCAAAGGAAACAAGAGTCTCATTTCACGGGGTCTGGATTCACCGAAAGAACGCCCCTTGAATATGTGCCAGGCCGACGCATGATGGTTCCCCCTTAACCAGCCATAAAATTAGTCAACTTTGAACCGGGGAGCCCGAAATGGGTGTGTGCACATTTGGCTATACGAAGGGAGTTTCAACACCGGAACAATGCCAACGATATATTTAATTAGAAGGTTAACGGCCCTGATCGGCGGTGGGGTGGTGCAGGATGACGTCATCGATTTTGAGGACCATCTTGACAAGCTGAGTGGCGAGATGGAGTTGCTGTCGTTTGGCCAACAGCGTGTCAAACACGCTCTGCTCGCGCATGTTAATGGTCCCCTTTCCAAGGCAATCGATGCCCAGATATGGATTGTTATCATTGAGCTGTCTTTGCTTGGCGGTGGTCAAGTGGTCAATTGGCGAGAGGCCCGAATTTTCTGCTAGGGCCATGGGAATCATATCTAGGGCGTCTGCGAATGCGCGCATCGCATACTGGTCAACACCCGTTGCCTATGATGAGAAATGAGACCAAAAAGGGGTGCCAAAGAAGAAAAAGAAAAGCAATAAACGGCTCGAAAAGACAAGACACCAACCTTGTCGGCAGCACCAGCCACGGCAATGGAGCAGGCAATTTCTGCAGAACCACCGCCATAAACTACACGCTGATCGCGAATGATGTTGCGCACAGCACACAGGGCGTCGTGTAGTGAGCGCTTGGCTTCTTCCACGATCTACAATTAGGCGGTAATGACGATGATGCCACATACCATCTTGTTCCCGCCGCGCACGAAGAGGGAAATTGCCCGGGAGTTTGCACACTCTTCAATAACAATGACACGATCATTGGTGGTCCCAAACGGCATCTCGCGCACACGCCCAGCATGGCCGAGTTTTTCTGGAGTCAGTTCTTGGAATCGCGGCACGATGCGCCCATTCGAGGCAATCGCAATAAGCTCGATCGACACCCCACCTACCCATCGAATGGCAGGCAGGTCTGATGATAGCAACAAGTGGTTGGCCTCGTCGTCAAAGCCCCACTGGCAGACAACAAGAGTAGCACCTGACGCCTTGACTTGCTGCACCATGGTCTCAAAAGTGTCTCGTTCATACTGCTGCAACTGGAAATATTCCTCCGGCGAGGTGATGTCCAACTTGTGCTTGGTTTTTGGCTTTGGTGGTTCAAATGGGCACGTCAGAATGGCGATTTTCACATCGGTCAGTTCCTTCTGCATTTGAGGATGGGAGAATTCCTTGTCAATGACAACACCCTTGATGAGCATCGAATCTGCTAGCTCACCGCCAACTTTCCCATCAACCTTGATCAGGTCAAAGTCAACGTCTCGTCGTTGGATATCTGCAACAGCCAAAATGGCATCGACAGCCATGGCTGCAAAGTGATCGTGGCATTTGGAGACGATTTTGGAGCTGAGCGATGTCTTTGCCACATTAATTAGCAAATCACGCCCAAGATCGGGCATGTCCGTTGAAATCGCTTCCAACCGCTCGACCGCAATTGCGCAAGCACGGTCAAAGCCCTCGGAAATTCGTATCGGATGGATGCCCATATCCAGAAGCGACTCGCAGGATTCTAAAAGAGCACCCGCAAGCACTAAAGTAAGGCGATTGCACTGGTACCAACTACGCCAGTCGTTCCGTCGCCAATCTCATCGTCTTGCGATTTGGAGAGTTCAACGAGCAGTTTTGCTATTTGGTGCTCCACTTGCATCTGGCTCAAAATGGTGGCTCCATCATTTGTGACGGTCACTTCGCCATCTGGAGAGATGAGAATCTTATCCAGCCCTATGAGCTTAATTTACCGCAATGTAGAACCTTTTGGTCCAAGAGAGGTACGCAACGTTCTTGCAACCGCTTTTGCCGCTATGATGTGGGACTATTTTAAGCGTGCAAATGCATACCTTCTGCGCCTGGATCCCGGTCAGCCGGCTCTTTTGCTCCTGCTCGCGAAGGATAATAAAGGGCCTTCCAAACTCGTCAAATACTAGACTCATAATAAAATTGCAACATGCAAGGAAATTTAAGTTTAAATTTAATGGCCAAAATTAAATTTGGCCAGAATGTCGCCGACAGCGATCGTTTACCCATTGTATTTTGACTCCAAACGCTCTGCAGGCGATGGGCGCAAGGTCGCGCTTTCCAGATCCATCCCGTCGCCGAAGCTTGCACACTTGGTTACCGCAGCCAAGAAGCTCAACCTGCAATATTCTGTTCAGGTATCGAAATCTTCTCAGTTTAGGAAGCAAAAAGACATCCTAGAGATCCATTTACATGCGGCAGGATGCACATAAATTTATCAGAAGACTGTTCCAGTTAAATTTGACTTTTAAATTTAGAAAATACACTCCTCAAGCAGCTTGGATCCATTCTTCCAGCAATCAAGGATTCGGAGCTGTCGTCCTTGTCTACCGTGGCAGAAAAAAGCGCAAGCGTTGTAAATAAGGGAATCCAAGTTCCCGCAAAGCCCCAGGTTGCCTCTTCATCCTCCGGACCTGTTTTGGTCATCAAGAAGAAGGAGAAAAAGAAAAAATAAGTCGAATAAATAGTTTATTTTTGAGGCCATATAAGCCACATGCGTGAATCATTCAGGACAAGCCCCACTGGGCGCGCCATAAATGATACGGCGCGTTGCGAACATTTCGGTTGATATCCTAATCTTCTTCCTCATCGCTAGCCATTGTGATTCTCTCGTTTTTCCGTGTTTTCTCAGACGCCATGGGGGGCTTTGCCCAAAAGATCTGTTTTTGAGTCAATGGGTTCGTTGTCCCTTTCAAATAAATGTGATTTGATGAGGCCATCGCTTGGCGTTTTGGAGGACATTGATCATCGCTCAGATTGCTAGCATTGGGACTACTGGATGGATCTTTGCATGGCACAATGTCCTTATCATCTTTGCAAATCGTCTCTGCTTGATGATTAGCAACGGCAGCATGATCATTCTGCGCCACACAAGATGGAAAAGCAGGCGGAACAGAGGCGGGGCTTGTTTCCGTTTTTGACTTAAAGGAAAATGAAATGGAGGTCTTTGGGGCCTTTTTTGTGGCCATCTCTGGAGTGGGCATCGAATGGATACGCGAAAAAGAGGGCATCGAGTCGGTATATAAGGGAGAAAGTGCATGGAATTCTCTTTTTGTACGAGGAAACACATGATCTTCACCTGGTATCCTGTTGTTACCATGGTCGCCATAGAAGGAGCTCGATGCTTTGGGGGCAGCTGTCCCGGAGGTCGCCCTTGCATCGTCTATGACGGCCTTCATCCTTTGCTTGTGCTTTTCACCCTTTTCATGGTTTCGCCGGTTTGCTGGATTATCGAGCAAAAATATCTTGCAGTAAATGCAGTAGTATTTTTTCAAGCTCTTCCAATACTCCACCATTGAAACGATATTTCCGGTGCAGTGACAAGTTTCAATATTTTTCCAACTTTAAAATTTACAAGCAAAATGATGCCAATGTTTACTACTAGTGTCGCCACTTCAATTTCGATCAAGTGGTGACGCAGCGCCGAAAACCGCGCAAAAGTTGGCACGCAAAACATACGCAGGCACGAGGCCACATTTGCCTTCCCCAAACTACTCGCCAAAAGCGGCCGAAAATCTCTCCACCAGGGTATCAATCTCCGGCTTGTGGATCAATATTTCCCAGTCAACAAATTGCAGGAAATCGCTTTCATGCTCATCGAGCTCTTCAACGGAAATGCCGCCCAAAACGGCATAGTAAGCGTTCATGTAAAACGTGTCCGAATATGCCTTGTTTGCGATTGTGAATGCAGTTAGCAATAGCCGATGCAGTGAGATTTTTGAGCGACATATTGACAAAGATGTGGCGACAACGAAATAGCGCTTGATTAAAACGAAGGTGCATAAAAAAAGATCGAAATTGCTGCTCGAGTCTGTGCCCTTGTCAATACGCATGATGTATTCAGCTAAAGAAATGGAGGGCAGGGCGTTTGAGAAGAACTTGCCGTGAGTCGAGTGCTCATCTAAAGCGTTGCATTTGCAGCTGTCTTCTTTCAAGGCGAGAAGCTCCGCAGAAAGGCGATCCACAAAGGTGTTGTCAACAGTTCTACTACAGCACATTTGGAAGGAACGCAAGGTGACGATTACAAAATAAAATTGCAACCCATGCACATGTAACCCTAACTTAATATTGTGACCATCGTCAATGATGTCGGCAGCCTTCAAATTTATTTGAACAGCTTGCGGAGTGAAGCATTGGTGTCGACGTCTTTTTTCATAACCTTGGCAACGGCCATCTCGAAATCCTCCTGCGTCACATGTATCCTTCTTTCACGAAGAGCAAACATCCCGGCCTCGGTGCATACACCCTATTTTTGAAAAACTAGCAACACGATACCTTGACCTCCGCTCCAGAGGCGCCATTCATCTTCTGAGCAATCCTGGACAAGTTAATGTTTCGAACAAGATTCATTTTCCTGGAATGGATTCTCAAGATGTCGGTCCTTGCGGCATCATTTGGAGGTGGAAATTCAATTTTCCTGTCGATCCTTCCGGGTCTGAGGAGCGCAGGATCCAAAATATCGATTCGGTTGGTCGCCATAATGACTTTGATATTTTGGACCGGCTCAAATCCATCCAGTTGATTGAGGAGCTCCAACATTGTTCTTTGCACCTCAGAATCTCCGCCGCCGGAGTTTCCGCCTGAGCTGGACTCTGTTCTTGTGGAGCCGATGGAGTCAATTTCATCCATAAAAATGATCGAGGGAGCATGTTCCCTTGCCATGACAAAAAGCTCGCGAACCATCCTAGATCCTTCTCCGATGTACTTTTGGACTAGCTCGGCGCCAGAAACTCGAATGAATTTGCAATCCGTATGATGGGCAACTGCGCGGGCAAGCAGGGTCTTTCCGGTTCCAGGCGGCCCATACAATAAAACACCCTGATCGGTAAAAAGTGCGGCATTCAAACCTTTGGCTGGGTGATGCCCAAATTGTCAAACAGCTCTGGGTGTTTGATGGGAAGCTCGATGACCTCTTTGATCTCCTTGATCTGTTTGTCCAGCCCGCCAATCATGTCATAGGTCGAGTCCGGCACCTTTTCAACCATCATCAAAGATACGAGAGGATCAATCTTAGACGGCAACACCTTGTACAAGGTGTATGAGTCGTTCCTAAGGGCAACCCGCGTTCCCGTCTTCAAAGGCGTAGGGAGATCCACGCCTTCCTCGATGTCAACGACATACTTGCCCTCTGTATGCACCTTAACAAGGACCTTGTTCTTTCCCATCAGCTTAATGACTTCCCCAACATAGCCAGAAGGCTCTTGTAACCAAAAGATCTCTTCGCGCAGTTTGCGCACTATATGATTAATGGATGGTGGAAGAACCTTGTGAATTGAGGGCATTTCTCTGGGCTGCAAGTCTGGCAAGATGATGTGTTTTTTTAAGAATGGTCATTTCAAGGGCATCGACTTTGGTCTTGTAATAGTGCGCAATACCTGGGTCACCACAAATGGTGTCCTCAAAAGTGTATTCGTCCATCAAAGACATTTGCGACACAATAAATTTACTTGGAAATTTATTACTAAATTGGCTTTAAATTTTAGATCACAGCCGATAAAATTTGGCGGGTTGAAAGACGTTCCTACGGTCTGTTGCCCAGCTTTTATGACGGAGCCATTTTTGGTACAGAACTCTTGGTCCTTGGACCAAGAGTTGAACTAACGGAATATGGAAGTATTCAGATATTTAATGTTAGTCATGTTTGAAAGTATCGGAGCCATCCAAAAGAAAACTGTTCTCAGAGCATTCATCAGAGGAGACACTGAATTCTAATCCATTTCCCGGACCAGTACGCCCTTTTTTTGCCATGCCTGCAGGTGCGTATACGCCACCGGGAAAGCTTCCAGAGCTTCCCAGCGAGTTAATCGCAAGAAAGGTACTAGCAACGACAATCAGAGCAGCAATAAAAATCACAATCGAGGCGAACGAAATCCAAAATGGAATCGAAATGTCCTCAAATTGGCACGAAGCTCCGGTGTAGCCATCGCGGCACAAGCATTGCCAGCACAGTTCGGCTTCATCGTCTTCATTTTCACCAGACGCAGACGATGTTCTAATCGGGACAGCTCTGCAATCGCCATTCAGTGAGCATCCATTTGTATCGGACAAGCAAAGCTCCCTACTTTTGTAACAAAAGGGTCGGTGAGAACTAGTATTCGCATCATTTGAGAGAGCAGACATCGAATCTGTAAGCAGTGATCCAAGACGATGCTCAAGCGATGCCATTCCGAGCAGAATATCTCCGAGCAGTAATATGGATCCAAGACCATATTTCGCTTCAGCGGCCTCAAGAGCAACAGGCAGAATCGTATGTTTTAAATGGTAAATTGCAGCGGCATATGCAGAGGAAGACTCTTTCCTTAGCGCTTGAAGGGACGAAGACGCCATGACCATGGAAATGGATTTATCTGAAGAAATGCTCAGGATTTTAACGAGATGAGAAAACTCCAACAAAAAGAGCTTCCCGGCTTCCGTTGAAAGAAGCAGCTCCAAATCGGAGGAGGGAATTGAAAAAAAATTCTCCCCAAATCGCCCTCTTTCACTGGAGCAAGATTCAAGCGTCTTATTGACAACATCAAGCATAGTGCCGCCGAAATACCTGCCACACAACTGGAAAATTAGAAACTATCCATACCTTGGTTGTAGGCAAGTCAAAGGTGGCCACAGAGAGGAAAATTTTGGAATTTGTGGCGTGGAAAATTAGCTCTCCAGTTGGCGATTCTATTGCCGCAGACCGAAGAAGGACATCTGCCAAATGAATTCGATGATACTCAGTCTGAGTCTTCACTGACAGTGTTAACAGCTGATTAAGGTCCAAGCCAGAGTATGGGGAATGAAGGGAAATCCTGAAAACGGTTTCCATTGCATTTTCCTTCTTTTGGGCCAGGTAACTAGAGGCGGAAGAGGAAATAAATTTGTAATCAGACGGAAAATCAGAGTCATTGATGCCAGTTATAATAAGAAGCCACTGGCTGGAGACTGGATTGAGTGGATTGTGCCCCAATTCGGCAAGCGCCGATTCAAATGTAAACAGTCTTTCAGCGGGAGACTTTACAGCCTTTTTGTCCGACTCAATCTTATCTGGGCTTGGCAAGCCAAATGCCTTCAGAATTAATGCAGACACCGAATAAATCGATGCAGTGTACTCACTTGCAGACGAGGAGACAAGTTCTGGATTCTTAATGAAATGAAGCTGATGAGCATATGATAGAGTTGGCAGCACCACGGCCACCGCTATGGCAACAATGAGAAGGCCTAATCGCAGCATTGGAAAAGTTCTATGCCAACTTACACAAATTAAAGTTCAACTTTCGGAATTTTAAATTTTTTTAAATAACATGATGCCACCTCCCACCACAAGGGTGATTATAAAAAACCTGCCAAGGGATCTGGATGAAAGGGGCCTGAAAACGCATCTTTCTTCCATAAATTGCTCCATAACCGATCTGAAATTAATCCGCACGCCACAGGGCGTCTCCCGCAGGTTTGCGTTTGTCGGCTTTGAAAATACGGAAGATACGTCAAAGGTAATTCACCATTTCAACAATACGTTTATCGGAACAATTAAAATCTCAATTGAGCCTGTTTCCCATAGCACGCTTCGTGCTGCTCTCCCCGCCAAAGGCGTATCCACGAAGCTTGAAAAGCTTGAAAAAAGAGCCACCCTTCTTTCCCTCTTTTCCAAAGAAGATGAAAATGATCCCGAGCTTCGTTCCTTTTTGTCTGCAATGAAGTCAAGAAGTAAAGGTCAAACTTGGACCAATGATGACGAAAATACTGGAGACAATATTAATGCGACCCAGACATCACATGCCATCTCCACTCGTAAGGAGAATGATTCTGATGATGAATACGAAGATTGGTCCTTTTCACAAAAAACTGCAAATATCAAAGATACAAAGTTGATGGCCAATAGCGACAATAGGTCGGCTACTGCTAATGAAGAAGCCCCGAAGCTTCCTCCAAATGCAATTCAACAGCAAAAGGAGTCTGTTTTGGACTCTGGAAGGCTTTTCCTGCGCTCCCTTTCCTATACGTGCAAAAGCAAGGATTTAGAAGCCCTCTTCTCAGCATATGGTCCCATTTCAGAGGTAAGATATGATTTTTCGGTATTTTTTCTCTTACCTTTTTGTCTTTTTATCAGCTAATCATGACTAGGTGACTCTTCCAATTACGCTAGACAGCCATCGCTCAAAAGGATTTGGGTTTGTCCAGTTTCACCAGCCAGAGCACGCACTTGCTGCATTTAATTCACTTAATGGCACAATATTCCAGGGACGGCGCTTATGGATTGGGCCTGCAGCAGAGAAAAATACTCCACCTTTGGATTCGATCACATGTTTTAAAAAGCTCAAGTTGGCAAAAGAGAAAGAAGCAACGATCAAAGAAACTGGACCTAACCAAAGGTTTTCTTCGCTTTTTCTTGCCCCCGATGCCGTGATGGAGGCCATTTCTGCCCACCTTGGCATACCAAAACGAGCTCTGCTTACAGATCCAGATGCTGCGGCAAAAATGGCCATTGCTGAAACATTTATTATTGAGCAGACAAAATCCTTCATGCTCCAACATGGTATCCCTGATTATGGACACCTCAAGGAGCGTTCAAAGAAAATAATTCTAATCAAAAATATCCCATATGTTGATGAGGAGGGAATCAGAGACTTCATTGGCGGGATTGGCGGCGCTGTAGCCTCGGGATTAGTTCGCCTATTAGTCCCACCCACACAATCTATAGCAATTGGAGAGTGGGAGAGTGAAGAATCGGCTATGACCGCCTTCAAAGCGCTTTCCTATCGGCGGTTCAAATCTGCCCCCCTTTACGTTGAGTGGGCGCCTTTTCAAGTTCTTTCGGAACCCCCCAAGCCTCATTCAAAGCCTGTCGCAGCAAAAGCTGGCTCGATAATCATCGATCATGCAGAGCAAGCACAAGCAAACAACGATCCCATTTCAAGCCACTTGGAAAATATGAGCCCGAGCACGACCACATCTCTCTTTGTGAAGAACTTGAATTTCCATACAACATCGGAGAATCTTCTCAAAGCGATCAAAAGCCTCGGCTTTCAATCTGCCAGTGATATAACCTCTGCAAGAGTTTGCATGAGAAAAGATCCAAAGAAGGGCATGCTTTCGTGTGGCTATGGTTTCATCTCGTTTTCCTCCAACTCTGCAGCATTGAAGGCACTTTCTTTTTTAAAAGAAGAACCTCCTACTTTGGATGGCCATCGCCTACAAGTGCAACTTGCCATGAATGATGAAGCCCAATTAGACGAAGATGGTGAGAATAACACTCGTGCAAAAGAGAAATCCGGGTCAACCCTTTTGGTTAAAAATCTTGCATTTGAAGCGACTTCTGGAGAGCTTAGAAAGATTTTCATGCCATTTGGCCAGGTCAAGAGGATTCGCCTCCCAAGGAAGGTGTCAGTTTCCTCGTCTTCTCCCGGTAGCCATCGTGGGTTTGCCTTTGTCGAGTTTACTACTCGTGCGGATGCAGAAGCTGCACTATCGGCTCTTCGTCACACACATCTTTATGGGCGTCATCTTGTCCTTCAATGGGCTGAGGATGATACAGAGTCTATTGAGAGGAGGCTACGTCTCTCCCTTCAAAGCCAGGCTACCTCTTTTTTTTCAGGCAATAGAAAAGCATCTAAATTGGCTGGAAATAGTGGTTCAGAGGCCAATGGTGAAGACGATGACGACGATGACGACGATGATGACGATGACGCAGAAGAAGAAGGCTATTGATAACAATTACATATTTTGTAGAGCTAATTTATTTGAAAATGGATAATAAAATACAACTTTAAATTTTAACTTAGCGAAAGTTTAAATTGAAGTTTACATCGATTTTACAAGTTGTTGATGTCGGTGTGCCTGTCTCCTGAGGTTAACCGGATTTTGTTTGTACGCAACCTTCCCTTCAAAATTTCAGCCGAAGACCTTTTCGATCTTTTTGGAAAATACGGAACGATTAGGCAGATCAGAATCGGTTCTGAAAAAGAGACTAGAGGAACGGCGTATGTCGTTTACGAAGATATTTTTGATGCTAAAAATGCATGTGAACATCTTTCTGGCTTCAATGTGCAGGGGAGATATCTGATTGTGTTGTATTATCAGCCCATCAAGCAATTGAAGAAAATGGATATGGAAAAGAAACGGGAACAGATTGCATTGCTTCGGCAAAAATATGCCCCAATCCTTGGTTCATCCACACCCTCAAGCTCCTCAACGTACTCCGGCGATACACCCCTCAGACATATGTAAATTCGACAATAAATTTAATCTTTCCGATCATTTATGATGGCTTTATTGACCAAATAGTCAGAAAATTGGCCTTGCTCCGCCAAAATGCCAAGTAGATGGCCAAAAGACAGCGGGCCAGTATGATGGAAACTGGCTTTAACATGCCCTTATAATACTTTTATTTTAACATCAATATAGGTATGGTGGCCTTTTTACCATTTCATAGTCGTCATCTACAGGAACAGACACCCTCAATGACTAACCATTAGACGAGTAAACTTACTTCGAGGGACTCTGAGAGCGGGATGCTTTTTCGTTTTTCTGCTAATTTCCCAAATCCTTCTTGTCTTCTTGCTTTTTCCTCATATGAAGCCTCAAGAAAATATGCAAGAAGATGCGTGCCACCAACAACCATTGACAAAAAAGGAAGCCCAAAGGAAAGAAAAGGATGGGTATCCCAAACCCGAGGATATCTTACCATATTTTCAATTATAAAAACCTAACCCTAGGCTTGAAATTACTTCAGCACAATTAAGAAGCCCGGTTGCGAGATGTGGCTCTTGAATACAATACAATACAATACAATACAAAGGCTTGCCATATAGCCAAAGTTGACAGTCATAGAAGAGTGCCTAGTGATCGTCTTTTAGTAGTCTTAAATGAAGGACCTCTGAATTCAGGTACTATTGACGTGCAAATGATTGATAGATTTTATTCAGCTGGCGTTGGATGGCGCATTGAGGCAGAGCCTGCTGGTCCGGATCGAGTTGGGTTAGGAGGAGTACGAGGAGGAGCGGCAGCAACCGGGGTGTTTCGTTGCGTTGGGGCCACAACATGTCCATCGCCGGTGTGGCCACCGTGTTCCTCGGACCAGCCTACCGCTTCCGAACCTGGGCAAACTTGAAGACCGGAGCTCCACATGTGGTGGTTCCTACCTTTTCCTTTCTCTCCTTGCACTAGCAAAATAAACATCATAACCACATACCGATGCAAGCCTTCGAGTGCGCATTTTCTGGGCCACCCGGCCCAGCGCCTCTTGGCGAACAAGGCGTGCATTCAGCTCCCTGTTTTCTCGAGATACCGCCATGTGTATAGCAATTGGTTCCCTTCCGTCTTGCTCGAAATCCGGAAAAGCAAACAGATCATCAACAGCAGATGACGGCGATGACAAGGGTGTTGGTGGTGGTACTAGTTCTTCCGCTCTGTCGGCATCGTCAAAGGAACCCATCTTTCCATGGCTTTGAGCAGGATCCAATACACATGCCGGTCGATTGGGGTCCATGCTCTCCAAACCTGGCTTCGCAATGTGCGCGAGCTCGGGCTTGATAAAGTGCATCTGATCCCCACATTCGTCGTCGTCAAAGCAAATATGCTGCAATGGCGCAACTGGAAGCATTCTGGACTTTTGCAGCTTGTCGATTTGCTAAAGGTTAAGCAAAAATGTAAGCAAAAACCCTTGAATTCATCAGCAGATGGTTTTGTACAAACGAGATCGACTGGCTCTCCATCAGAGACTTCAAATCAGCAGGTATTTCCGGGGCACAGCCTGCAGCATCAGTGTGACCCTCGTTTTTGTGCCGGCCATCCTAAAGCCATAAAACTGCCAAACATACGATGATCTTTGATCTCTGCATGGCAAAATAGAACTCATCTGGATTTTTGAAACGAGCTGCTTGCTTCATGGCATTGAGCCGTTTGGCTTTAAGGTGGTAGCTTTTTGCACGCTGCTTGTAGTCTTTGTGTCTCTCGAGAATACCAAATCGCGACCGGTCTGCGGGGGCACATCGCTCGCGGTGAGTTCGTCTGGGTGCTGCCTTTCGGAACGTGGCATTCATTAGTGCGTCACAAATTTAAATTAAATTCAAAATTACATCGATTTGGCACCCAGCCAATCAAACCGCCATGCCAAGGCAGATCGTATCAAGCAGCTGCCATGCACGCTTTGGAACCATACTTTCAATGCCCCAACATGGAAGTCTTGGAAATCTATGGCACACCTTGGAAATCGAATGACAAATCATTTAATTAAAGCATATCATCTTTTTCTTCAGTTGCGGCCCTTGAGGTGCTGAACTAGCACATGCATTGCCTCGCTTTCTTCACCAAACTGACGAATCACAGCGGACGAGCACGAGACAATCTTCTGTGCAACCCCGTTGTCGTCATACTTGCAAAGCCCAACCCATTCTCCAAGCTTCTTGCCATCCGGGACCTTGATAAGATCGATGGAGTGCTCGGCACAAAGCGCAGTAATAAGCTTGACATATCCGGCTTCGTCGCAGCTTTCTGCCAAAATGCAAAGATGTGCAGTTCCGCGATCAAGTGCTTTAACACATTCACGGAGTCCACGGGCAAGGCCATTGTGGATGCGCGATTGCCTAAGGACGGCAACCAAAGCCTCCTCAATGCTCATGGATGAAATTATTTCGGCAGAGACCGTTGTCTCGACAACACTCATTTCAATGGAAACATCTCCTTCTGATGACATTTGAAACAGACGTCCTCGCTAGGGGAGAGTGAGAAATGCCCAAGGGACAGATGAAAAGCTGCATGGTGGGGAATACAATGGGGCAGGAGATATTAGGTTTTGGACTTACATGTCAAGAATATAAAATTTATGTTCCTTAAAATTTACTAATTAAATTTCAATCCAATCCAATCGAACCCAAATCAAACGAAACGGAGCGCAGCGCAGCGGAACGGAACGGAGCGAAGCCAAATAAACATCTATTTTAATTATTCGATTTGTGTCAGCAGAGAAAATCATTTGTGGTTCCGTTTACATGAGCTGATTCCAAGAGCCGTTTTTAAATTTTCACATAAATAGTCTTTTTTGTCCTTTCGAGGCTGTCTGGGGGGTGGCGTTTCCCTCGGGCCCTGCATGGAAAGCCCCAATAATTTGGCCTCTAGATCAGATGCATTGACTGCCTTTCTGGTAAGTTTATATTCGGGGCTGCGTGCCTTTCTATCATGCTGCTTGATGTGAGGATTTTCCTCAACCTCAGGTATCATCTTCACAGGCGTGGTGTTGGGGCCGTTTGGTGCGGTTGACGATTTTACAAAGTAGTCATATGGGTTAGAACTAGCCGTTGGCAGCTTATTAGAGGGGTTGGTACCACTTGTTTTCTCTTTTTTCCAAATATAATTGACATGTGCGCACGATGGGGTTTTCAAGTTAACACACAAAGCTGGCGGAATGATAAAAAAGTCTTTCCCTGTCCTCATAACTACCCCATTGACGGAAAGATTTCGGGAGCCCTGCGCATCATTGTTGCCTCTTTCGACCCGTCCAAAGAAATAAAGACCAGGATCAATGTCATTGGAAAATGCCGATGCGATTTTGGTCGATTTCATATTAAATACACGCCGTGCCAGCGAGAAAAGATCCAACTCCGCCATGCTCAGGTCTCTTCGTCGAACCCCGTCACTGTCATAGAATATTTCCTTCCCATCGGTCAGTCCAAACACACGCAAATGCGTTTCATTCATCGGTGCCAATGAGAGCGGATGCAAATGATATGGCCAATTGCTAAAAAGAGAGCCTTTTTTGATTTGGTTTAAAAGACATTGAATGCAATATTGTCCACCATCTTCCAGGGAAAAGGCACCGCAAAGGCAAAGCTGAAGAGAAGGTGAAAGTCGACGGGGACTCATTCTCCCCCATGTGGAGCCGGAAAAAACGGTATTTTTCACGAACAGTGAAGGCCACAAAGACGGATCACAACATCTTGCGGCCGGATGATTTATTCCCTTGTTCCAAATAAAAGGCTGTGAATACTGTCGATTGAAAGCCTTTTCCTGGGGCGTCAGTTTGTTTTCCACACCTCGGACAGCGCTAAGGAGCTTCTTTTCGTCAATAAACGGTATGAGAACAATGTGTTCCCAAGAGCGAGTTTTTTCATTCACATCAATCGCAAACGTAAGGGGATACCACTCTGCCAACGCTTCAGAACTCATAAGATCAAAAAGAGGCTGCGGTAAAAGGGTAGCCCCAGAGGCTATCGGAAGTACTGCCAAAAGCTGCTCCAACGGTCTCAATGGAGTGCCGTTTGAAATGCCCCAAAGCTGTGCCGGGACCAGCATGTCGTGTGCAAGTGGGCCACCTTTTTCAAGCCACGCCCCAATGTCGCCACCAAGTGGTGCGTAGTGATATGGGTAGAATACAGCCCACGAATCAAGACCCCTGTAGTAGTATATCCAAGCCCAGAGAAGAATGCGGACATATGAAAGAAAAAGAGGCTCCAGGGCCCGCTCATCGGTGAGAGAGAGCTTTTGGGAATAGTAATTTTTATATCCATCAGCGCAGTCTTCTTCACCAGAACTATCTGCCTTGAGGGCGACTGCGTTGTCCATAAAAGTCTCTGCAGCCTCGTGTTGAGAATTCTCTCTAACAGCCTTTATAGGCGGCGATGAAGATGGCGATGCCTGTCCACTGGATGTCAGAATTCGGGCTAAAAGGCCCCAGTTGATGCTTGAAATATGAGGCGAAGACTCTAGTGACGTCAAATACTCGTCGGGTTTTCGAACGCTTTTATACACATCAAGCAATGAACTCAGTGAACCCTTATCAATGTGGAACCCTGGGAGGTGCGGCACAAAATCATTTCCCGCCAGCATTGCCAGCACCACAAAATCGGACGCCACTTTTTTTTCCTCCTCCTCGTTTAAATTTTGGGTTTCAGCTGAGCACGAGAACTCGAGCCTCAAGTAATCTCTAAGGATGGAAATATGAAGCACATCAAAGGTCATTTCGCCAAGACTTTCTGGCATCGGGCGCTCCTTTTTTAGGGAACTCCCATACCGCTGGAGAAATGGACGCTGTTCTCTCAACAAAACCAGTTGGCGATGATGTGAGGCTAAAGATAGCATGATAAGGTCAGCATCAAGGCCATGAATGCAAATTGGGCCGAGCGTCTTTTGCGAAGTGAGCGACCTAATCTCATCCATAATTTTGTGTTCTCCCTCGCCAGGGATTTCTTGGCCAGAATACACTACTTTGGGGGGATAAAGTTCCTCCTTTAGCCTGGATTGAAGAAAAGACCTCAGAAATGCAGAAAGACGAGCCATAAACGGCGTGCCCGGTGTAATCGAATTTGGATCAAATTTTTCTGCAATCAGAGCATCTCCATTGGCCGTGCTGGTGGTCGCGGCGGCGCCAGCGCTGGTGGCGGCCTCTGCAGCTGCCCTGAATCTACGCGAGCGCTGCTGATTGAGCTTTGCACGAGGAGCGACCCCGTCGACAGCAACAAAAAACATGCGTCGAGGAGCAACGATTGCAACCATGGTATCCAGCTCCTTTCCAATTCGGTAAAACATCTCAGCTTCAGACTTGGGTAGCGACCCATACTCTGGATGTGTGCACGAATGAATGATAGAGTTTGCATCAATGAAAAGGTCATCAATTGCTGGCAAGATCCCTGATGATTTCAAAGAAGCCCCAAGACCTGATTGTGAGATCAGCGGATATCTATCTTTGAGCCATTTAAAAAGCTTGGGTACACCCATGTTATGTTATGTTGTGGATAAAATGAAAATTTGAGCGCCCAATTACGCACTATGCCCGGTGTAACCCTAAGGGGTAAAATTTAATTTTACTTTGAACATCTAGGGTCTTGTTTGCCTGTCAGCCGGTCTGCATCGGCCGATTCTCACAACGTGCCCCACATGGTGCCTCAAATTTCGGTAAAATTTATCCATTGAAGTCGCAGAGGAGATTTCTTGGCATTGCTGATTTGAGGTTTCATGGTTTTAGAGCCATCGTATTAATCGCCTTATGGCTACGATTGTGTTAGAGTTAGTACTCAACCGCATCGTTTCCCTGTGATATTTTTTGTCAGTGGATGATTAATTTCCCTTTTTCTCTCTGATATTACAGTCTTATTATTCGATGGCTTGTTCTTTAGAATCGAAAATGAAATTACCAGCATAGCCGCCCCCTTTGTTATTAGTGATGTCCCTCGATAGCCCAATAATACTAAAGTGGCTGGTAAAGCCCCTGAAAGGACATGTATGCTTAGCCTTCATCTTGGATATTCAGATTTTTAATAAACTTTTCTGATGTTTTGTACTGATTTCTTGTCTCTATTTTGTTTTGAGACCTACCAACTTGCAATTATGTCTTTTGGACTTAAATCTGGGTTTATTCTTTTTTTAAAGAAAGATTCTTACCTAAAATAGTTATTGCACATAAAGCTTCAAGATTTTTATCTCTATAATTATTTTAACCCAAAGGCCTCTTGATTATTATCTTCCCAACCACTTTTAAGCGATTTCGTTTATTGGCGACCTGTCTGCAATTTACATTCACATCTCATTTAAAAATATTTCTGAAGCGCATTTTTAGATGCTTTATAGAATCCTAGAGCTTGATATCAAATACACTGGAGTTGATATTGGATCCATAGGTACCCTTTTTAGTTTTTCTTTTTCTTTCTGCTGGTTTGAAAACCACGAATAAATCAAGACAAGAAATTACACAATCAATTTTCATTCTTTCATTTGATTTGGATCTGCATTGAATTACCTATTCAATATTTTTATTGCGCGCAGCGCATAATGTATTCTTCCGCGCTTATAAAAGCGTATATTTATGACTTATGAAGACCCTTGCTGTATTTTTGTTTTATTGACGCTATGTATGGCCCTCAAGGAAAGTGGGGTAAATGTGACATCCTTCCGAGGGGCTTTTTTCCACGTACAAGAAGAATTCGCTGTTGAAATTTAATATAGGCACCTATTGGCGGTATGTTCAAAAATACTATGCTATTTTCCTCTCAAGTTTTATACCAAAATTTTTTGTTTTCATTTACCTCTAATTTTTCTTAATAAAATCTTGTAGAATGAAGGTAAAATAAGAATTGCTGACGGGTCAAGGTGAGGCTGAAGCTTACCATCTCATCCAACTTGATTAGTTAAATTTGATATCCCTATTTAATTGCAACCTATTAGAGAATCTTTCCGATGGCTTATTCTTATGGGTTGAAATCAAGCTTCCATTAGATCAAGGGGGGCATTTATCGATGCCTTGAACGACATCTAGCATCGGTACAGGCCGAGTTAGGCCGGATATCCTGTAAAAGCAGGCATCTAGTTGGCTAAATTCAATTTATTTTAATATTAGAGATGTAGTTAGACGAAAGCTATCACGCACCAAATACAGAGACTCGATTTAGCGACCGTATGGTTACTATGTGAACATCTAGCAGACTTAAATCAAGTTACTGGGGTTAGATAAAGGAGATTATTCTTCAAGCTGGCCATTTTCCATAGGCGCTTAAAATATTGCCGAGGATATTTATTAAAAATTCGTCATTTAGCTCGGTTTTCTATATCTTGTGCCAGTAGCAATTGATGAATTGAAGCAGAACTTGGATGTTCTAATAGGGTTATTATCCAAGCAGGGTTTTTCCTTTGAACAGCAGTAGTAATAAACCTCAATCACATTCATATCCATTCAATAAAAGATTTCAAGATTTTTGTTGGAAAATATGGTTACCCATATTTGAAGCGAGCCCGAATAATGGAATTTCTTGCTTTGTTTATAAGCTATATGGATTACCAATGCATCAGTCTATTGCCAATATAATTGCTCATATCAGAAAAAAATTTTACCCTTATGCTTGATCAGTCTGGCATATTTTTTAAGCATCCAGAATATAAGTAATCATCTGGCCAAAAGCACACATAAATGTGACGACCTGATAATTAAAATTTTTGGGTTTAATTTGCGATTTCACCAATCATTGGATTTAATATTCTGGTCTAAAACAGTCTAAATGCTGGAAAAAATTTAGATAAGCTCTCCACTTCACTCAGCATTGAAATGCTTTTATTTCTTATACTTTTCATTGTAATTTTTTTTGTCGGTTCAATTTACTGAAATTTGCAAAAAATCTTATCATTATACACTGCTCGAGAAGTTAGGGCAAGGGACAGAAGTCATAATAAAATTTGAAAATAAGCTATTTGGAGTTCTTCTAAATAAGATGAGCTTAAACCCTTTTAAAAAGCGTCTAGCTAAAGTCACAAAATATGAGAAAAGAAATGTTAGAAAATTACCTTTTGCAAAAGATGATGTGCAAGACATATCTAAGGAATCCCATGCTGAGATACTGTATTTCTAATTGAGAGCTTTTGGTTCGCTAAAAGAGATCAAGAACTAATGGGATATATAAATGAGGAAGAATCAGATAGCCTGTCAATACAAAAAAATATATCTATAAAAAAACCTCTACGAGATCACGAGCATCTGTTGTGTTTCACATATCAAGAACTTGTCTACAGCGGCTATAACAACCTCAAAAGTGAATACTGTATGAAATTCTATAGCGAGAAAAATAAATATTCGCTTTTCTTAAGTCTAAATTTCATGAATTGGCAGAAAGTAGTAGTAACCGTGGGGCTATTGTTATCTTTTAGGAAACAATATTCAATTATTGGGCCAGAAGCTCTTTGATAGCAGGTGTTGTTATAATCTTTCTCCGAGTCCTTTTTGCATATCTCTGAAACGTCCACACTCATCGTGATAGAGGGTCAAGAGAACTTTCAAGCAAAAGAAAACTTCTCATTAAACGATTTATTCGCGAAAAACCTTTCCAAGAAAAACTGTCTGATGGAGAAAACGGTTCCGAAAACAAAAATCTGATAAAACCGAGATTCCGAGGCGTTGAAAGAACGGGCAATCCAATGCTTAAGCTAATTAACTAATGCCATGCGAATATATTTTGGAATCATTAATCTGAGCTTATTTTTGGCCTTTTCGAACATTTCTTAATAATTTGTAGTAATTCTGGACACGCACCATGCACCATATCATTCTTGTGAGTGTCAGTCGGATATTTTCTTTCAAGTCACCGTGATACTTGTCAAATTGGGCTTCCTACTCAGTGTTAATGAGTCGATTTAATATTTTAACATATTGAGATGCGCCAACAAATAATCGCCCCATCATCGGCGGAAGACTCGAGTTCAGTATGACTTTCGAGTTAGGGATAATTTTTATAAACTCGTTAAAATTGATCCCTCTGATACACCTGGCCAATTACACTTTTTATATTTTATCTCTCTGAGTACATATAGGAATGCCTTCCACAATCAGTCAAGTTTAATTCGCCTCCAAATGAACTTCAAAAGGTAACAAACCTAACTATTGAAATCTTCGACAGAGCGGGCCTATTATCATAGCCTGTGTTAATAAAGGCTATACAATACAATGATAGCTCCCTTTATTTTTTAGGGTTGCTATTTGGCCCGAAACATAACTATGAAACAGAACCAAATAAACACTTTTTATCGGTTGATATTAGCCATCTCAACGACTGGAATGCCCCGAAGACTAAAATTGAACCTAGGTGCAGGACCGAGGACTTAATCGGATATCATATCGAAAAATTTATTTGGCAAAAAAAAAATTTACACAGGCTAGAGGTAAATTTTATTGAGGCACCATGTGGGGCACGTTGTGAGAATCGGCCGATGCAGACCGGCTGACAGGCAAACAA